AACACAAGAGACAGACAACAACAGCCAATGCAGTCTGATATGCAACAACACCAACAAAGGCGTATTGAACAGCAGAGATGCACAGGTTCCAACAACACAAGAGGCAGGCATGAACAATCAATACAACCTAATATGCAGCAACATCAACAACGAAATACTGGATGACAGAGATGCACAAATTCCGACAACAAAAGAAACAGCCACGAGCAATCAATGCAGTCCGATATGCAACAATACCAACAACAAAGCGATGGACCACAGTTATGCACAGATTCCAGCAATGCCGGGGATGACCACGAGCAATCAGTGCAATCCGATTTGCAGCGACACGACTTGCGAGATGGAGAATATAGAGGTCGATCCCGAAGAGGAGTTCTAGTAGTACAGGCAACACCAACCGAAACCGTCGTCTGGCCATTACGAATACTGCAGTGGAACATACAAGGTCATGGAAATAAAAACCACACTCTTCAGGAAGCTGCAATCAGTACGAAAGCAGATATAATCGTGTTAGAAGAAACTCTTTTCCCAGCCACGAAATCCTTCAGATTTGCTGGATATCAGCACTATGTTATACCGTATGAGCAGGAGAGACAAAGAGGGTTAATGACCCTAGTCAGGAACACCATACCCAGCAAGAAAATAGACTCAGTTTCATGTGGGGATAGAGTAGAGGTATTAGCAGTAACAGTGAATATGGCTAATATTGAGCTCCTCATATACAACGTCTACAAGCCCCCTAGACGTAAACTAGAAGCAGAGGCAGTGCTTACCTTGGCCATGCAAGAAAATGTAATTATTGCTGGGGATTTTAATGCTCATCATCAAGAGTTAGGTGCGACTGGGCCAGCTAATGCAGATGGGCGCCATTTGGCTGCAGCTCTGCGAGAAGTACCTGAAATTACACTTCTCAACACTGGAGAACCCACTCACATTCTAGGATGTTCCCTTGATCTTACATTAATCTCAACAACACTCAAGCATCAGGCGAAGTGGGAAGTAAACCCGGTGATCACCAGTGACCACTATGTTACCATCACAACACTAAACATAGAACGACCTCCTACACCACCTGCACAACCTAGGTGGAATTTAACAAAGGCCAACTGGAATATATACCAAGAGGAACTTGAAAAATGGTATGCAACATACACGCCACCTGAGGATTTGAACACACGCAAGACTAATCTGCAGGAAGCCATTGCAGCTGCTGCAAACAAAGCTATTCCAATCATTATCCCAGGAAACACAAATCGAAAGAACTATTGGATCTATAGTAATGAAGTTAAAGAACAAAACCACAGAATCAACATCTTCAGAAAATATCTAAAGTGAAACCCCCACACCAGAAGGAAAAACTCTGCTAAGAGCGGTGATATCTGAAGCAAGACGAGTTTCTAGAGAGGTAAAGGAGGCAAGATGCCTTGAGATGTCAGAACTCTATATGTCAATGATGTCAAACTCTAAATGAACACAGTAGTCTTGGCAAGATATGGGGTCAGATTAAAACCATATCAGGCCTACCAGCCCGACCACAGGCATGTATTCAACCATTGCAGGAGGCTGAGAGACTTGCTCTCCAATTTTCCGAAAGAACAGCTTCATATCAGCTTCCTGCAATGATCAGAAGGCAGCAAGAACAATTAAAACAAGAGAGGTTGACAACCATTCATGAGAGCATAGCTATAAATGGCGAATGTGACGGTACCTTCACCAAACAAGAACTAATCAGAGCCAAAAAAGGTGGTAAGGACACTGCACCAGGTGCTGATTACATTACATACTCAATGGTCGCACATGCAGGTCCTGCTGGAGAACAAGGAATATTGGACGTTATCAATGCATCTTGGCAGCAAGGCAAACTACCAACCTCTTGGAAGAAAGCAGACATACTGATTCCTCAGCCGAAAGAACCTGGCAATTACAGACCCATTTCAGTAACATCATGCATTAGTAAAACTACAGAACGGATGGTCTTAAATAGGCTACTGTGGAAGACTGGAGACCTGCATAAACACATATTTGGCTTCACTAAAGGAGTAGGTACTGCCAACTGCATAGCAACATTACTAGGAACTGTTAACCCAGGTCCAGCTATAGTGATCTTCCTTGATCTAGAAAAAGCATTCGAACTTGCAAGCCCTCAAGCAATTTTACACACCTTAGTTAAAAAAGGTGTAAAGGGAAATATGCTAGCATGGATTCAAGATTACCTAAGCCACAGGTATGCCAGAGTAAAGTTGCAAATACAAGTGTCGGACTACCACTTGCATGAGAATGGGACTCTTCAGTCCTAGTCTTTTTAACATCCTTATGGAAAACCTCGTCACCATGACATTTACAGAAGTGGTTAAATTGTTAAGCTATGCTGATGATATAGCATAGTCATTACAGGTCTTTCACTCCTAAATAGAGCACAAGGTGCATTAGATAAAGTAACATCTGAATGCAGCGTTTTAGGGCTAAAAATGTCTGCACAGAAGTCTAAGGCAATGAGACTATTTTTTTTATTAATACATGAGGTACATCTGCATTAGTGCAGCTACCCTAGACTATATGAAGTGGAGTACAGTGTGTCAAAAAAGCTAACTAGGTGATGCTATAAAATCCCCATCACACAGGATGGTTAGTTTTTTTTTATTAATACATTAGGTACATCTGCATTAGTGCAGCTACCCTAGACTATATGAAGTGGAGTACAGTGTGTCAAAAAAGCTAACTACGTGATGCTATAAAATCCCCATCACACAGGATGGTTAGTCATACAGAGGCATGTGATAGGCAGTCTGCACTGGCAGACTCCGGAAGCATTTTGAGGATATCATCAACACAAGATTGAATAAGGTAGCAGTGGTAATAAAAGTCCCCATCTCGCAGGATGGTTAGTCATACAGGGCCATATGTTTAGTAGCCTGCACTGGCAAATTTTGGGTATACTGTGAGGATATCTTCAAGAATACGAGAGTGAATAAAGTAATTGCAAAGCTCCAGGTACCTCATGCCAACTTTGCAACTGGAGTGCTCAGGATTGGGAGATCCGTCACCTACCTTGAGGTGCTTCCGGGGCTTAGCGTCCCCGCGGCCCGGTCGTCGACCAGGCCTCCTGGTTGCCCGACTGATCAACCAGGCTGTTGGACGCGGCTGCTCGCAGCCTGACGTATGAGTCACAGCCTGGTTGATCAGGTATCCTTTGGAGGATACCTGCAGCCACCTGCCACAAGTAACGGTAACCCAACCTGATCCTTGCAACCACTGTGTCGCACAGTCTAGTGGACGTTTTGTGCTGCCCATAGATATAGGTTTCAGATCTGAACAAATCATAGCTTTTTATACTTTCAGGTCGTTGGGAGTCAGTAATTTCTTTCCTATCAGATCTGAGTGTTTGGACCAATACAGTTTTGACAGCAGAGATGGGGATACCTAGATCTAATTCAACTTCATCCTTGTTACACGCTAATTTGGCTGCAATGTCTGTCTCATTATGATAGGTTATATTTATGTGTGAAGGTATCCAGACAGAGGAGATTCGAGACCCTTTACTCTGTGCAGCAATTAGGTCATTTATAATTGGGAGTATGAGGTTCTTGCTGTCGATCTTTCAAGAGAAGTTTTCGATTGCTGGAAGAGCAAACTTTGAATCACAAAATATTATTCCTCCTCCAATGTTTTTTAATGTACTGGTAGCTAGGTGTAATGCTGCTAGTTCTGCTTGTGTGGAGGTCAGCCAGTTGTGTAACCTGACACTGACAGTCTTTGTGCAAATATTATTTCTATTAAACCTACATGCTGCTGCAGTCCGCCCAGTAGAGGATTGGACTGAGCCGTCGGTGTAGACACAGTGCTCGTGAGATTTTAAATTCTCGATGGAGGAGGCAATTGTTTCAAGTGTGACAGCTTTGAGAAGAGCAAGATTCTCATTATCTTTCTTGGTGACAGGTGTGTATGATACTTGAATGGTGGGGTTAGACAGACAACATAATCGTTAGGAGGCTGCACTAAACAGGGTGTGTCTATTAATCTTGTTTAAATTACCAATCAAGCTGTCAATGTAATCAATCAGAGCTTTAATATACCAATGTGCTTTAATATACTTACTAATCTCTCTCATCTCATTTTTTTCTTGCAATGTATCTGTTATCATTTTATTAATTCTGCTAGAATTTACCTACTTAAAATTATCTGTTAGATTAAGGACCTGCCCGAAACGCTGCGCGTACTAGTGGCTTTACAAGATTGTAAATACTATGCTATGTATTCTCACAAACCCAATGTACCTTCTTGTATATAAATAAATAAATAAATAAATAAATGATATAATTGAGAAAATCCACAATTAATAGATTTACAATTTAATAACAGTAGTACTCAGTAATGATATTATTGAGAAAATCCATGTTAATGATATTATTATATTTTATAATAAATAATAAGTATCATAGCAACCGATAGCACTAAAATATTATTATGAATGTAATTTTTACTATTTATATAATTTACAAGAAGAATATAAGAATTTACAAGAAGAATATATTTATAATAATAATGAAAAGCAAAGTTCACATATTTAGTATCTTTTTTCCGAACATGCGAGTGAGTAAACAGTCTACCAGGAGTGAGCTATTGTTGAAGGTAAGGGATGAACGCATCCTGGAAGTTCTTACTAGGAGGCGCAAACCCAGTATGGGTATATGAGACCTCCAGAGAAGAAAGGCTGAGCGGGGGATGAGAGCTTCCCTGCCGGGTTATTTTCCCCTGCTACCCTTTGACGTCACACCGCTTTTTAGGAGGCGGATGCTATTGGATATATCAACTGTGTTTGCCTCGCTCTCTCTTCATATCCACCTCCAGAGTACACCATATAAAATGTGATCAGGTGCTCTGGCATGAAGCTAGTGTTGTTATTAGATATACTATGAAAATCTGGTCACAAGCAACAACGCAAAATATAAATAAAACGATTTTATAATTTTCTTAAGGCATTAAGCAACACGAAGTGGAAGATGAAGTTAGGTTTTTGCACAACTGTCAGAGGCAGGTGTTCGCGGGTGTTGGGCGTGATGAAGAGCGTGACCGTGGAGCCCCTGATGCTGCTCGATGGTCTCGCCTTCTCCAGTATACACGTGTACATAGAGAACCTGCAGATGGATCGGGTGTGTAGAGTGAACAGCGGCTTCTCCCAGCAGGTGTGTGACAACCTCAAGGCACAACCTGAAGCCAGTGTGGAGGTGCAGCAGAGGTACAGTGTCTTCGCCCTTTATAACGGCATCATCGCCGCCGCTCTTCCACTCTTCTTCATCCTCTTTATGGGCGCCTGGAGTGACAAGTATGGCAGGAAGGTGCCGCTAGTGGCAGTGCAGGTGGGCCACGCACTCCACGCCGCGGGCTACTTGCTGGCGTCTTTGGCACCTTCATGGCCTGCCGAAGTGCTACTTGCGGTCACGCTTCTGGACACACTGGGAGGCGGAACCGTGTCATTCTTGACCGCCGCAAACTCTTACATTGGTGACGTGTCCTCGGAAGAGTCGCGCACCTCGAGGGTGGGATTGGCCAATAGTATCTGGTTCCTGGGTGGACCAGTGGGCACTCTGATGGGCACTTACATCTACAGCTGGGGCGGGTACCTGCCACTCTTTGCCACTTCCTTGACGCTGTCCGTGATGGCTGTGGTGTATGTGGTGGTGTGTCTTCCTGAGAGCCACGGACCCTTCGTCAAGAAGACCATGGCTGTTGTCCCAGACCACAAGACACAAGTGGAGCTGCGAGAGAGTGTGGCGGCAGTGTACGGGCTGGAGGTGAACGCTTCGTCTACCAACACCCTCCACACCCGCCCAAGTCTCTCCACCATGCTCAAGGACTTCTTCAACCCTCGTCGTATCCTCGACAGCTTCAAGTCGACGCTGAGGAAGCGCGAAGGAAACACGCGATCTCTCATCCTTATCCTCATCTTTACCAGCCTCCTCAGAAGAGTTACTCGATGTAAGTGAAATTTGTCCTTAATGAGGATATTGTGAAAACTTTAATGAGTTGTCGTATTATTGCACAGTTTCTACAATAAGTGTTTGTCAAGCAGAAAATTATAAATTGTATTATATATACTGAAAACAAAAAATTATTCCTGCTCAGATATATTACATGTTCGGTCAAGCCAAGTATTGTAATTCACCCATGTGCTCCTCAGCTCCTTATGTGTTCGCTTTCACCCGTCACGTGCTGGGATGGCAGGCTACCGACTACAGCCTCTGGGTCACCTACAAGAACCTGATGGCCACCGCTGGTAAGACATTTGCACGAATACTGTCATGTGATGTGCATTTGCAAATCCTGTTTTCATCGCAATATTGTAAATATGTTGAAGTCATTCGTATTTAAAGAGTTAGCTTGGTATCCAGTGTGGGAATATTGGAGATAATATGGACATTGAAACACACCATTCTTTAGTGCCATAATGTGATCGTGTCTTATTGTGTGTATTAAAGCCGGGTTTAATGTTGTTTTAGTGTGTGTGTATTAAAGGTGGGTTTGATGGTTGTCAGGTTCCCTGGTGGCGGTGCCGCTGCTGAGTGGCTGTCTGGGAGTGTCCGACAACCTGCTGGCCATGGTGGGCGCCATGTCCGCCATCTTCGAGTATGTCCTCTATGGCTGCGTCTCCGACACTCGAGCTTATTTCATTTGGATAGGTGAGTGTTGCCTAAGGCTGAGAGGTGCTAGAGAGGGAGGATAGTTGACATTATTGAGACACCGTGTGTGTGTGTGATGTAGCACAATGTGACGCCATTATGTTTGTGTCCCTCAGCGCCAGTAGCGGCCTTGATGCTCAACTGTTGCACCATCGCCCAGCGGGCCATGATGACCAAGTTCGTAGCCAAAGACGAAATCGGTGAGTTGCTTTTTATTTTGTTTGAATACTAATGCAAAAATATATGTATTATTTTTTGAAATTATATGTTCAGTATTTAGTACCTGTATAGCACTTTAGTCAACGATCACCTTCCACAGGTAAGGTGTCTGCGGTGCTTGGTGCCCTGGACGGCCTGATGCCCATGGTAAACTCTGCGCTCTACACTGCCGTCTACTACGCCTCCGTCAGCACCTTCCCTGCTGCTCACTTCTTCCTGGGCGTTACTGCAGCAGCTCTCATGATCCTCTTATTCTGGTACGTTAACTTTTAGACTTTAAAATAGCGAAATTAAATTCGAAAACCATTTACTTGCAGTAATCGGTTCAGCGGGTGCCATGGGGCTAGGCACTGTTCCTTCATCCCGGCAGCCTCATATCCCAACTCCTATCTTGTTCTCATATTCCTTCCAAATGCCATATACAGTAGTAAAGCTAACTGAGCGCTTTCTCCTCATAATTACCTTATTGTGTGCCAAAATATTGCGATGATAGATAGTAGATGATAGTAGTAGATATGTTGGCTTCTTGTATTGACAATGAAGGTAATGAAGCGACATTCTCCTGCAGCTTCATCATGACCGTGGGCGAGTCTGGACAGTATGATGTGGAAGACGCCAAGCCAAGTTTTGCTTCGGGGCCCGTCACCATCAAGTCCCTAGTTATGAGGAATAACACTTGCTGGTTGGCCCTCTCCGCGACCCCATTCAACACCCACTGTCAGCAAGCCACTCTCTGCGCCTACCCTCAACCCCACTCTCTGTGCCCACCCTCAACCCCCACTCTCAGCAAGCCACTCTCTGCGCCCACCCTCAACCCCCACTCTCAGCAAGCCACTCTCTGCGCCCACCCTCAACCCCCACTCTCAACAAGCCACTCTCCGCGCCCACCCTCAACCCCCACTCTCAGCAAGCCACTCTCCGCGCCTACCCTCAACCCCCACTCTCAGCAAGCCACTCTCTGCGCCCAGCCTCCACACCCACTCTCAGCTAGCCACTCTCCGCGCCCAGCCTCAACACCCACTCTCCGCGCCCACCCTCAACCCCCACTCTCAGCAAGCCACTCTCTGCGCCCTGCAGCCTCCACACCCACTCTCAGCAAGCCACTCTCCACGCTCATCCTTAACACCTACTTTCCCCCCACCCATCCTCAACACTCGCCCTCACCATCCACTCTCCACTAAATGACGAAGTGCCAGACCACTGTGTTTTGGCCCAGCAAGCCTTGCTGACCATTTCTGCCAGTACCTGTCTCGTTACAAATACACCTATGTTCGGTGTGGACTGGGGCAGTACGGTGGACCTAGCATTGAGAATGGCAGAAAGTCTGCAGAACGTATGATTATTGCTTTCTCAATGCTGGAGTTCGCTATACATCTTGATATTTCTTTATGACACAAACACACCTTTATTTGTCCTACACAGGTGGTAAATCCAAGACAGTGATCAGGAGTCTTATAAACAAGCGTTGGGAGTCATTCTTCCCTTCATCAACGTTTGATAAAACTAGACTGAAATTTTCAGCATTTTTGAATAAAACTAAAATGCTAGTCTTCATATCTGTGATATGTTTTATACGTGTATATATATATATATATATATATATATATATATATATATATATATATATATATATATATATTATTTTTTTTTTTACATAATATATTGTATATTATATATATATATATATATATATATATATATATATATATATATATATATATATATATATATATATATATATATATATATATATATATATATATATATATATATATATATATATATATATATATATATATATATATATATATATATATATACTTTATGTATTTATATATATTTTTTACCTTTTGATAAAAATTATAAACTAATGTACATCTTTAGTGTGTATTCTTTCATATTCTTGGCCTTCCTTGTTTAAAGAAACTTAAGTATAACCAGTATACTACAACCTTTACTACTAATCTATACTAACCTATAACCTTCAAGCATAACCTTTTTATTGCATTCAGGAAGTCATGCCACAATTTAGTACGCTCTATTTCCGTTGCATTTGTGCTTCGGTTGAGTCGTAATCTTGGAATATAAAATATGTATTGTTTCTGTTACAAATGCCCATAGATTCTGTTACAGCCTTCTAAGACGACATTCATTAGATGTAGGTGTTGGAGGCAGCAGTTTCAGAAGGGGTGTCTCAGCAGCTATGGCCTGCACCGTACTGTCGACAGAGCCATCTGTTGACGGTTCAGGAATCTGCAGTTTTGTGTTTATGTTTGCCCTCCGCTGCTACTGACTGAGCAAGTCCCAAGATGAATCCTTTAGGGAATGCTCAGGTAAGCGCATTTTTATACTATATATTACACCACCGAGCCGGATTGTTCAATAGACTGACGATAGATTCGGCAATTGTGGACTGTAAATGTTTGTTAATGGTTAAATTAGGAAATTAGGGCGGGCTGTGTGGGGTCATCGCCTGCCGGGGGTCGAATGGCTGGGGATGAGTTTATGAAGATTTTTTTGCGATTGAAGAATTTGATGGCTGAAATATATTTTGATGGGCACCAATTTCTTACTGGAGCTTTAAGCTTTAATTTCATCAAAGCTTTCCCTACCCTGTATTTATATAAATGTCCAGTGGGGAAAGTACATGTCAATAATGGTTGCAAACTTTTACATCACTATGGATAAAGTATTTTGTGCTATATATCAGCAGAACAGGAAATGTATTAATTGATACTGTGCTGTGGTTAAAACATATACAGCATGTCCTTACTCCAGTTATTTTAAATAGCATGTAAAAAGTGCACATATGATCCAAGTTTTACATCATTGGTGACATTGAGCCTGGCCTCAGGCTGGGGTTGGGGAGTAGAAGAATTCTCAGAACCCTCTCCAGGTACATCACATGTTATACATGAATTTATACAGGTGTATACAGGCGTACTGTATGGATACCGACCCATAAGCAGGGGTGCACGTTGGATATGGGTCCATAAGATGCCACACTGTTTGGATACAGGCCCAAGGGACACTGGACTGGACTGGACATTACATACTGTAACGTGGTAGCTGGTCTTCTCTTTTCCCAAACTAGTTGAACCCCTACCAGTAAGGGACATACTGGTATCAACCTTCATGGAATTTTGTCAAGAGTCTTTTTTGTCCTGTAGTTTGGTGACTAGACCGACATATCATTATCTAAGTGGGGCCTCTCCAGAGCTAGATATAGCTGAAGGATACTCGTGCACTGGATTTTGACACGTATAAATTTTGACACTTGGCTTTATTTTGAGGATTTATATCTTGGCCTTAGGTCGCTGCAAACTATGACTCCCTCTTTGAGAACTTTCGTTATACACTGTACTGTATGTATAAATTTATTATTTAAGTATTTATTATTTTGAATAACCTGTACCCATTTTTGCTTGAACTTTATAGGGTCCACCAGTCTCTCTTTGTTTGATTGACCAAATAGTTGCTATAAGTACTAAAATTTTTGAAGAATGGGCTACATTTTTGCCAATTATCTCTTATCATTTTGCAGTTCATAGCATGTTCTGTACTCTGTTTTTATTATTGATTTGTAGGGTACAGCTCCATGTCAGAGATTCTTGGGTGCAGGGAGTGGCATTACTAGTGCTGAACGTGATAAAATATACCAGTGGATCATTGAACTTGCGAACCCAGAAACAAGAGAAAATGCTCTTCTTGAATTGAGGTAAGTTTCTATATGTTCATCTGTTACTTGTGTTTGAAAGTGACAAAACAATCCAAGAGTATTATTAGTCTTAAGACTGTGAGAAAAGTTAAAATGTTAACAAGTTTTAATACAGTAATTGAGAGTGATTATTGTAATCAGGAGAGCAAATGTTGAAATTAGTTAAAGAAGAACCATTTGAAGGCTTTGATAATTGGTAGGAAATAGCTCTGGAGTGAAGAGCAGGGGTGCCATAGGCACAATCAGAAAACACTGTATAAACATCAGAGGTCCTCTGTTGTTCAACATACTCCAAGCAAGTATGAGAAATATTGCCGGAACAACTGTGGCCATCTTCAAGAGAAAATTTAGGTAGTTTTCTTCAAGAAGTGATGGACTAACCGGGCTGTTGTGGATTGTGTGGCCTGCGGGCCGCTCTAAGCAACAGCGTGTTGGACCAAGCTCTCGCTAGTCAAGGCTGGCCTCGGGCTGGGCTTGGGGAATAGAAGAGCTCCCAGAACCCTATCAAGCAGGTGTTGTGTAAGGAAGTGGTTTATGTGAAGTGGTATTAACTTTTATTTATCTGCATGATATAGTCATACTGTGTGTGTGAAGGGTAATGATGAGGAACAGCTGTGCACAGCTTGACTACTCACTGAGGGCAAGACAGTCATGGAGTTGACAAAAGCTAGCAAGAACCAAGCTCAAATAGGCTGCCAACCATACATGACTGAGAAACAACTGCGGGCAGACAAAGAACATTTGAACAAGAGGTAAGCACAGAAATCATCCAGCCAAGTAAGCCAAACCCTCGGAGAGCAGAGTACAAATTCATAGATGAAGTGCTGTAGAAGATTGGACATGCACTGCTTAAAGGAACCAAACTGGGCCAGAGGTACAGTTCCCCAGAATACACGTGGCTAACACCACAGGAAAGCAACCAAATGGTAAGACACTCAGTACGATTCCAATCAACTTTTTAAATTTTGTTGTTGATGAATGAACATTAGGAGAAAGAAACGGGCATATCACTGTATTTTTCTTGTCTTAAAAAATTATTATACAAATGCTTCTTATTGTGTAACAAATCTCTGGATGAAATAAATCGAGGTTGGTTCTTGATTCTCTGAATTGAGGTTGCATTGTAATGACACTGAACATGCGGAAGCTCAATATTCGGTACATGTCTTGAAAGCCAACATAACATTAAAGATTTAGTGTAAACTCAATCTTTAATGTTATGTTATTTTTTTCACTTTAACAAATTCAAAGAATACAGTTTGTTAAAGATGAGTAGTATAAACAAATCCACAAGGGCCGTGATGAGTAGTATGTGAATTCTTCTTATATACTAACTTTTGGTATCAACCATTTTCTTCCAATACAGTAAGAAGCGAGAGTCTGTCCCTGATCTTGCCCCACTGTTATGGAACTCATTTGGGACCATTGCTGCTCTACTCCAAGAGATCATCAATATCTATCCTGCTATTAATCCAGCCACACTCACAGCTCATCAGAGCAATAGGGTCTGCAATGCTTTGGCTCTTCTTCAGGTAAGTATCATTTACTTAAACTTTCAGCATAAATTAGACCAATAATGGAATATGCAATTATAGTACGATATTGTGTTAATATCTAAAGATACTATTCATAAAACAGGAAAAGGCCAAAACACTATTAATCAACATGTCTAAAGCTATCTCTTGTAAGATTTTAAAGGAAAATGACAATTTTTAATAAAAAAAAATATTGAAATTAGGCACTAAATATTGGAAAAGGTACTGAAGAGTGCAAGGCTGTACCAAGAGCTAAGGCAACAATATCTGGGGGAATAGTATAGCTGTTTATTTTTTTAAATCTTCTCTTTCAAATATTACAAACAGTCACCATTTATAAAATAACCTCTGGTGAGATTTTGATGGAAATGAGAAATGTTAACAAAAACAAGAGAATCTATTAGTTAAATTTCAATGCTAGATTACATTTCTACTTAGAATCTATTCTCAAACTTAGTAACCTCCATATATAAAATCTTCAACAACCACAAGTAAACAAGATGCCCAAGTTTAACATTATACACTATGGGAAAATCAGTTGGAGTAATGCGGGGATTTGAACCAGCTTTCTAATAAATACCAGATGTTTGCCTTAACCCACTCGGTGACGATAGGACAAAAGCTATTCAACCCGGAACTCTTCTGAATTCACTGAAGGAGCTAGAGGCCCCAAGTGGTGCCACAACCTGGTTTTACAAATAGCCTGCCAATACTGATATGTGACTAATGGGTTCTCCATCGAATGCCTCCTTCAGAACACAAATATTTGGGTAATTGGCATATGCTGTTTTTTGTAATTTGTATATGCCTTTTTTTTTTAATTGGCATATGTTGTACTGTATTTATTTAGCACACCAAACTTTTTATAAATTAAAATGTTTGCTTTGTGTTAGTACATTATTTTCAGTCATGTTTCTGAATGCGAATGTGTTTCAGTGCGTAGCTTCACATCCAGAGACACGGTCTCAGTTCCTGGCAGCTCACATTCCTCTGTACCTGTACCCATTTCTACAAACTGTCAGCAAGACACGACCTTTCGAATATCTACGTCTCACTTCTCTGGGCGTCATTGGTGCTCTGGTTAAGGTAAGATTGTAGCTTTGATGGTTTTGATTTTGCCTCATTATAATAATACAGTACAGGTGTTAACAATAATGATAATAATAATAATAATTATTAATATTAATAGTAAACAGACATTAATAACAATAATAATAATATTAATACTAATACGAATTTATATGTTATGTTAATACACTGCATTAAAGATCAAGTTGTTTTATATAATTAGGAATCCCTGGTTGAGAGAGAATGAGATAAGTGAATTAAAAAAAATATATATATATTTGCAAAATGTCATGGAATACATGACAAAAAAAATTTGAGGACAAATGAAGACAAGAAATTGCTGGACTTATAAGTAGTATGTTTATATTTTATTTAGGTTTATGTATTATGTGGTCTATCTGTCCTGTTATATGGACAGGATATGCTGACAACGTATATACTGTAATGATTGTTAAAATTATAAATATCTCTCAAAATGGAATGTAAATGTTTCATAATACTGTATTACCTTTATTTCCAACAGAGCAATTACACCTAATGTTTCTGCCTGAAAGCAAATAATTAACTGCATATTGATTCTCTTGGTCTCCATACAGACCGATGAACAGGAGGTTATAAATTTCCTGTTGACGACTGAGATCATCCCACTTTGTTTGCGTATTATGGAATCAGGGTCAGAGCTCAGCAAGACGGTGGCTACATTTATCCTCCAGAAGATCCTACTTGATGAAACTGGACTGAACTATATATGTCAGGTTAGTTTAAAACTTGTGGATTGAATTCGGTTGAGAGGGGGCATCAATTGAAGTGCAGTGGACCCAGATGTGCATTCTGAGGGAATGTGCATCCGAGCTCAGCATTCTATTTCACTTGATTTTCTAGTCATCTTTGTGCTCAGGCATCTTGGCAGATGTATGGAAGAAGGCAAACATAGTTCCAATCTACAAAAATTGCAGCAGGGAAGACCCTCATAATTATAGACCTGTATCTTTGGCAAGCACTGTAGTCAGAACATGAGGTAAATAATTAACTCTAAATGGGCAGAACACCTGGAGAGAAGTGGTATAATAATAGACAGACATGGGTTTTGAACAGGAAGATTCTATGTGACAAATCTACTTAGTTTCTATGATCTATCTTCTTGAGGTTATCATGAGATGATTTCGGGGCTTTAGTGTCCCCGCAGCTCAGTCCTCGACCAGGCCTCCACCCCCAGGAAGCAGCCTGTGACAGCTGACTAACACCCAGGTACCTATTTTACTGCTAGGTAACAGGGACATAGAGTAAAAGAAACTCTGCCCATTGTTTCTCGCTGGCGCCCGGGATCGAACCCGGGACCACAGGATCTCTAGTCCAGTGTGCTGTCCGCTCGGCCGTCCGGCTCCCATGATAGAGCCACAGAGATTTTACAGGAATGATTGCTGGGTTGACTGCATTTATCTGGACTTAAAAAAAATGACTTTTGACAGAGTTCCACATATACATAGGTTGTTTTGGAAACTAGAACATACTGGAGAGATGACACACAGACTTCTGACAAAAATGAGGGCAGTAATCAAAGGCAATGTATCAGACTGGAGAAATGTTGGTACAGTTTTAGCACCAGTAATGTTCATTGTTTATATAAATGATCTACCATAAGAAATACAGAATTATATGAACACGTTTGCTGATGATGCCAAGTTACTAGGGAAGATAAGAAACTTTAACAATTGTCATGCTCTTCAGGAAGACCTGGGCAAAATAAGTGTATGGAGCAACACTCGTCAAATGGAATTTGATGTGAATAAATGCCACATATTGAATGTGGAATAGGAGAAAATAGGCCACACAACCTACGAATTATGTGAAAAAAGCTTTAAAGAATTCTGATAAAGATCTAGGGGTGGTTCTGGATAGAAAACTGTCACCTGAGGACCACATAAAGAACATTTTGTGAATGTTGACCTAACCACACACTAGAAAGGGAAGAGATGACAATGTTTCGGTCCATCCTGAACCATTATCAAGTCGATTGTGACGACGAAAAGAAACGTCGTCTTCTCTTCACTTTCTAGTGTGTGGTTTGGTCAACATTTTTCAGCCACGTTTTTGTGACTCCTCATCTGCATTTTGTGAATGTTTTCCAACTTTAGAATCGCTTTTAAATACAAGGTTTTCAAAATATTAAAAAAATTGTTTATGACCTTTCTGAAGCCAAAATTGGAATATGCAGCAGATGTCTCAAGAAGCTTATCAACAAACTGGAAAAGGTGCAAAAACATGCCACTAAATCACTTCTGGAACTGAAAGACAAAAGCTACATAGAGAGGTTAGAGATGTTAAATATACCAAAGTGAGAAGAAAGAAGAAAATGAAGCGATATGATCACTGCATACAAAATATTAACAGTAATATACAAAATTGACAAAGAAAAATTTCTGAAAACTGCAACTTCATGAACAAGAGGACATAGATTCACCCTAAGGAAACTAAACTGCAGCAAAAATATTGGAAAGTTCACTTTTGCAAACAGAGTGGTAGAACAAGTTAAATGAGAAGATGGTGGAGGCCAAAGCCATCAGTAGTTCCAAAGCATCATGTAACTGTAATGGGAAGATGGGACACCATGAGCATAGCTTTCATCCTGTAACATCACTTAGATAAATACACTAGGTAATTTCACCACACCCTCTCCATCTCTATCCCTAATGTCATAATAATGCAATTTTACTTCACACACTGTCTTCATCACTATAAGCATCTTCACACCATCTACATCTTTCCCTCACAAACCCTCTCCATGTCCTCCACACATCCTTCCCATATTTCCCCTACATGACCTGCCTATTCCTTCTTCCCAGCACACATACTCACACCTAACCTGTCTCCTCCCAGTACACATACTCACCCCTAACCCATCTCCTCCCAGCAAACATTCTCACCCCTAACCCGTCTCCTCCCAGCACGCATACTCATGCCCTAACCTGTCTCCTCCCAGCATATATACTCACGCCCTAACCCGTCTCCTCCCAGCACACATCCTCACGCCTAACCTGTCTTCTCCCAGCACACATTTACATTTTGTTTTGTTTTTATTAACACATTAGGTACATCTGCATTTGTGCAGCTACCCTAGACTATATGAAGGGGAGTACAGTGTGTCAAAAAGCGTGTGGATGACAATTTTTCATGTTCACACATGAGGACTACTTCACATTTGAACAACCTTAGTGTACTGCAGATTAAACTTTTACCATTTATCACTGGCCATAACTGAGTTCTTGCTTTTCTTCCTTGTACTAATGTTTTGGTACATTATCCATTGCGTTCTTGTCGTCCTTTGTTAAAGGTTATGAACAGGTATGTTACTTCTCCATGTAATATTATTACTGGTATGTATGTTTAATCTTCCTAAATTAACATGCACAATGACCGTGTTACCATGTTCATGGTTATAATGTGTTCTTGTTTATTCATGCCTTTTTCCCCTTCATAAATATTTTTTACTTTTCTAAACAGTTTCACTAATTCAGATGGCAGAATAGCATCCTCCACAATCTAGATTACTTCATATCAGTATCACCTTGACTTATTACCTTGGCTTTTCTTATTTTGTTCTAGATCATAACTCTTGATTCAAGGCAATAAATGCAGAAAATATCAAAGGTATTGACATATTCAACTTGTTGTGTATCATGTTCATTTTCAAGCAGTCATTTATTATGTTCACTGCCATAATTATTTCTTTTGTAATAAAAATTGTTTTTAAAAAGTTATTTGAATACAAAATGAGACAACTGAAGTTCATTGAATTCTTCTCCACTTCAGACCTACGAGCGATTCTCTCACGTGGCAATGATCCTGGGTAAGATGGTCATTGCTTTGGCCAAAGAACAGTCTGCACGGCTGCTGAAACATGTCATCCGTTGCTACCTGAGGTTGTCGGATAACCCAAGGTCTGTATGCATTAGATACAATTTGTACCAATATGTGCCTCCTAACTTTTTATATCGTTCTGTCTGTCTGATTATATTTTTCCTGGCTGCATTTTTTTTCCTGGCTGCATTTTATTTTTCCCTGTGGATAGTTATACATATTGATGATATCGATAACTAACTAGAAGATGCTGCCAACATTGTGCAACATTTTCAAACAGTGTGGCTGGCAGCTTATAAAGAGGGCGTTAATATGTATATTTTAAGTAACTGAGCGAGGATCTTATGGTCTGTCAGGTTTTATTTCTGTTGTTGAACAGGTTGTAGAATGCCTTCTGAACAAATTGGTCATGATAATTTTGCTGTCTTATAAAAATTGCTTAATAAATTAAGGACATAATAAGGAAAAAGGAGGATGCTAAAGGATATTGTTTTCATCATTCCATCCCTCAAAGCCTATCAAAATTATAACTTAATTCTATGGTTGTTTTAAATATGCTCAGTGATTTTCCTATGGTCCTTTTTTTATATTGTAATTTTGTGCCCTCCTAAAATCATAAAAAATATCTTTATAGCAGTATTAAATGAGATTGTGCGCATACAGTAGTACTTTCTTATTTTTCCTCGACAGGTTCATTTACCAAGCAAAATTTTAACACTATCGTGCGCCGGGCATGCGCACCGCCAACTTAGAGGTCATGCCCCCGGCGTGCGGGCAAGCGCGCGGCAACACTGAAATGTGTATACTCGTTTCAGTTTTCTCACCTTAATTCTCATGCTACGTCAATCATTTTGGTATCATTGTGTTCGCAATAGAATTCCCTACAGGTGTATATGCATATAATGTCCAAAAGCCTGGTGTGACTCCCAACAGCAAAGCCTAAATTCTGCAAAAGTTACCCGTGAGCGCACAAAATCAGTAAAATGTGTTTACTCGTTTTGGTTTTCTCACCTTAATTCTCGTGCTACATCATTTGTTTTGGTATCATTGTGTTCGCAATTACATTCCCTGCAGGTATATATGCATATAATGTACAAAAGCTGCATGATTTCCCGCAGGAAAGCCTAAAGTTACCCGTAAGCGATCACCAATTGGCACACCGCAAGCTAATGTGTATACTCGTTCAGTTTGATAACATCAATTTTCGTGTTACGTCTTTCATTTTGGTATAAAATTGTTCGCAATATAAAGGCGTGTATTTTAAAACTAGTCCCATAATAATAGAGCAATAACTGGAATTTTAACAAATATTTTAATTTTGTATGCTCATCATCACAAAATTATTTATATTTTTCCAGTGTTCTGACATAAATTTTTGTGTTACATCTTTCATTTTGGTATCAAATTGTTCGCAATGTAAAGGTGCGCATTTTAAAACTACTAGCACAATAAATAGAATTTTAACAAATATTTTAAAATTTTGACCAAAAATGTATTTATAATCTTTCAAATGTTTTGACATCAAGTTTCGTGTTACATCTTTCATTTTGGTATCAAATTGTGTGCACTCTAAGGGCACATATTTTGAAACTATCCCGAAGTCGATTGGATAAAAAATGAATTTTATACAAATTTTTTGTATTGGATGCGAGTGCTGTCCACAGCTAGGACTCAGGAGAAGAAAAGTGGACGTGAGCGTTGTCCACGTCTGTCGATACTGTTAATTTCACTCCTTCTGAATGATATGTAAGAGAAGGTACTTACAGTAACTATTTATTGAATGTAAAAAAGGTAACTGCTACACCGAAAAAGTTCATATGTTACTATGAATTTTGTAGAGGGCATGAAAAAGAAGGCAACAACGAAACACGTTTTCGTAGGCCTAATATAGCACGTGTACGAAATTAGGCCTAAGATAGCAAATATTTTGCCTAGTATTGCTTATATAGGTCTGGGACAGGTTAGCTTGTATCGTTACTCTCCATTTTTTAGCTTGACATTTGGAGTACTGTATTCTATAGTAAAAAAAAAAAAAAAAAAATTTTTTGGGGAGTACAACAGTTAATTTTGTGTGTGTGATCAATAGTTGCTATAAGTACTATATTTTTTGGATTATGGGTTTGTTCCTTCCCAGCTTATGGCTCACTTTTGAAGGCCAAGCAAAACTGCATCAAATTCAATGTGCATAATTCAAACGTACATGTCTACCACTTTGGATACAAGTGTTTAATGTTTCACTGTAAGGTAAATTTTTTATCATCACAATTCTAAAAGTTTTAAGGATATAATTCTCATATTTGTATATACTGTAATTGCAATGGGAGAATTTGCTGTTGGTCTATGATCCCTAATTCAAGAGTCCAGTTCATTGAAGGCTCAGACTCTGCTGTGTGTTTTACTCAAGTGTTGCGTAATTTAATTTCAACATTTTGCCGAGACTATCTAGAGCTCTAACAGGGAAAAACTTGATTTGTCATTATCATGCACTATTAAATGATTTTGTTTTGTAAATAAATTATATACATAGTTCTTTTACACCTTGTCCATGAAATGGTTTAAATAATATTGAGGCTTGCTGTGATATTGATTATTTGATGGGTGCTTTCCCCCTATTCCTATGAAATTGGGAACTGGACAAAAAGAAGTTAGTGATTTCATTACATTAATGTAAAGTGTACAAGCAGATGATTCTCAGTGAAATAATGAATGATTAACAGGCCATGAGGTGACTCATGAGATTGGCACATGTTATGGGTTGTTCTTTAGTGCTTAAAATAATAATAATAATAATAATAATGACTTGCCCAAGAAGATGTGCATGCTAGTAGCTGTACAAGAATGTCAGAACTCTTGTATATACTGTATAAAAAAAAACCATGTTTTTTGAATAGATGTTGGTATTGATACCAATTATTATTTAACAGGGCACGAGAAGCCTTGCGCCAGTGTTTACCAGATCAACTCAAGGACCAGACTTTTGCTGCATGCCTCAAGGATGACAAGTCCACCAAGCACTGGCTGCAGCAACTCCTGGCCAACCTGGAGTCCACAGCAACTGCCGACCCACGCATTGCCCTTCCTCCTCTGGCCGCTCAATGAAGCACGGCCGTGTTGGAGATGCGTGGACTTCACTGCAAGTGTATATTGATTGGTGATGCTGTGATCTGATGTCATCTTTATCTGTAAATGCCTTGCTGTTATTGATGCAGTGATCATTTGTGCATCCCAGTTTGCAGGGAAATATACTGGTGGTGGTGGTGCAGTGATCTAGGACATCTTGTGCAATCATTTCTCATACAGAGTGCTGTGATAAAAATATACAATTCTGTGCAGTTACATTTCCCAGTGATGCTAGCAGCTTGCTCTTTAGCATGGCTGCTATGAAAATGGGGGAGTTTTCTAAATGTTCCTTTAAAATACCAAACATTTCTTCATGAGGTTTAAAATTAACTTGTGATGGTTGCCTAATTTGAAAATTTCCAAGAGAATATATACTTGTAAATAATGCCAAATACCAGTTATTTTTAAGGCTGATCAATACAAACAGAACTTATTCTTGAGATTGGTGAAATAAAAGATAATTATCTTGAGATAATTATAATATATATTACAAAAACCCTTTATAATTTATTTTCCATCTCATAATAGGGTTTAGAGCATATGACTATCTCTCTTTAACTGTATGTTGCTCTCTTCTGTACTGTACCTGGTTCATCTAAATAAGCGTTAAATCAAAGGCAGGATCGACATGAAATGTTTCTTAGTTCAAACAATGATGAAAGCAGTTGAAGTCAGAAAGTGTGTTGGACTCAAGACTGGTTATTTGGTTCACAGGTAAGGAAATATAAGTACAACTCATTAGGTTATTTATTTAATGTAATTAAGCACACACACTCCTTACCCATGGTAGGTTTTGAATGCATTAAAAAGTACCGAGCTGTGCCATATTTAAATTATGGGAAAGATTTTATGAAAATTATGAAAATTAATCTGGTGGTATTCCTATTAGTTGGCAGTAATTTCTGTGTATAAATGTCCAAGCCTCACTTTGCATAAAGGTTGGCCTTAGATCAATTATCAGAAAGTGTCCCAAGTGGCTAGACACAGTGTAAACGCCAGCGTATCCTTGTTGCCTGAGGATGAGTTGTTGCCGGCCAAATCTGTGTTGTTAGTTGCTGCTTATGGTATCTTGGTTTAAATTTTCTAGTCTAATGTGGACTAATTGTGTGTGAGATACTTTCAGAATATTTCTGAATGAAAAATTGATATGAACTTGCTTCTCGAGTTATGTTCAGTAACTAAATTAAAAGGTAACAAAGTATGGAAAGCCCATAGCCTTTTCTATTTGTAGGAAGTGTGTGTGCGCGCATGTGTGTGTGTATCTTGTAGTACCTAATAAAATGATGAAACGTCATGAATGACATGCATATCGTTACGTATTTGACATTTTGTTTAGCAAATATTTGGCAGGTCACTCTTGAAGTATTTCTTCCTGCAATGCTACAATGTACAAGCCTCACAGCTTGCCACGACAGGGTAAAGCGAGATCCATGTATGTTTACTTATTTTAAGAATGTCAAATTTATGTACTGATTTTGAAAATGAATACAGTACAGTAATGATTTTTCATTACCATGTTTAGATTTTCTCACTGTTTAATTAGCAATGGTTGATGGATGTTTTAAAAAGTACAGGTTTCTTATGCAGTAAGACAAATCTTTGCAATTGTATGGATTAGCATCGGTCCAATGTGCAAGTGTTGTAGATATATTCAATTGGTGGCTCAGAAATTGGTCCTTCCTATGTTTACCCCTTACACTGCTCTAATCTTGTTAACCTTCCAGTCTTGTTAATCTATATACAGGTACTGCTCCAATCACTATATGCAATTTTTTCTAATTTCCATTTTTTGTTGTCAGGAACACCACACTGTAGCACTTTTAATAAGCATTATTTTATCTAGGTATTTATTATTTACCTCTTGCTAGGTATCTGCCCATTTAAGTCATCAGTAATCATTTTTAAAGACAACTAACAAATGGGACTTTGTCATATGGAACAGATACAGAGATATAGACAAAAACATTATACAGTACTGCACTTGTATACTGCAAACATATGCATGCACTGGAATAAAATATTTTTTATTCAAATGTATGACTTGCTAGCCCATCTCATAGATATGAATGTGATATTAATGTTCAAAATGATTTAAGAATTTAGTGTTAATGAGTATTGCATATGTTAATCATAAATGCATGTTCTTGAAAAAATGAATTGCGTTGGACTTGAACGTTGTTTATCATGGTTCCTGCAGTAATGCGAGTTATCATTGAGGCCTGTAGCGTAATGCTAGGTATCAAGGTCGCGCAATTGAATGCAAGTTACCAAGGTCTTGCAGTGTAATGCCAGGTGTTATACTATAACATTGTTAATAGGATTACCTTAAGTAATTATCAAAAGAAGGCACCAAGCTGGGTAGTAATGACTTAAATTATAATTTAGTTACTCGACGATTGTCATGTTCTGTTACGACAATACTGAACATCAATTGAAATTACGAGCTTAGAGCACATTTACACATTTGGATATGTTAGATAGTAAACAGCCTAAGTAATCAGTCGGATCTTTAGTATTTCCACTAATTAGTTGTACCAGTTCTTAAAATGCCAAATTTGAAGTGACTTTAGCTACAAAAGCAGAGATTGAATTTTTAAATGATTTACTGTACAGTACTTAGCAATATTTTTAAATGTGAGAAAACTTAAAATTAATAGGTAAAGAAAATAAATTTATTACATTGAACATTAAATACATTTTAAGTATTGTATGTCATTTATAATGGTTGAAGCCAACAAATTTTAGTGCTTTCAAAAGAAATATGGTAGGTAATTTTCTTAAGCAAATACTGTACGGTATTTAGATTGTTTCAAGGTACCCCCCGCCAGGTCAAACTACTGACTCCTTCAAGGATGTAACCCCACATCAGTTGCCTAACTCCAGGGTACCCATTTACTGCAAGGTGAATAAAGGCATTAGGTAAAAGGAAACTACCATTTCTGTCTCATCCGAGAATCGAACCCAGGATCCCTGACTGGAATGGTAAGAAAAGGAATGTACTCTATATAGTATATCCTAATACCCTGATAAACTAGCTTTCTCACCTTGTAAACCCCCCCCCCCCCCCGAGCCTCAATATTGCCAGTTACATTTGCTTTCGTTACAAGTGATGATTTATTCACCTATCTCCATGGGAAAATTTTGACGGTACAACGTTGAGATTCCATATCACATTATCTATTGGATATTGTTGCTTTATTCAGTTTCCACCTTGTCTATGTATTATATTTATGTGGGTGCATTACAGGTTGTCCAGTAAATGGTTAGTGTTTTACTAGCTGTCTTCTGTGTAATATTTTTGTACCACATACACCTGTATTTTAGGAAGATAATTTCATTATGTACATTCATGGTTTTGGCACATTTATTCAAGTGCAGTAAATCCCCAAAAAATCCTTGTATGTGGAATAACTATTCTGGAGCAACATCAAATTCACCAATTGTTTATAACTGTTATCTGTTTGTCATTGTCTCACATGTTTGAAAATAATTGTTCCCCCCCAAGGAAGGCTTTAAAAAATGTCTACTGACTTTTGTCGGTTTTCTTTTATTAAATGCTTTTCAGTGGCTGTGATATCCGGTGAACACCATTGCATATCAGACAAAGTTTTTATGGCACAATGAATATTTCTTGTTATGAGGCAATGTATCCTCTCCTTAACCAAGATGATTGATAAATCATCTAGTGAGGGGGGTGTAGCCTTGAATTGTATCTCAAACATTTATATATTGCATTGCTGCTCCAAAAATTGCTTTATGCATGCCTTGATGCTAGGGTATAACCCTAATGCCTTTGCTAATGGTACCTCTAAAGCTTCACGAATGTTGTATGTGTGTTTTTTTTTTTTTTTTTTTTAGCAAGAAGTTTCATTTAATTTATATTTGATATATTTCTCAAAACCATACCATACTGTAAATTTTTATTATTGTAACTAGCAGCTCTTAAGATACCAAATTCTTCATAATTATAGCTTATTCAGATTTCACCCTCTGATCATTCTCTAAAGCATTGTTATGGGTTTTACTTCTTGTTGTATAATTCAACCTTCTACCCAGAATGATTACGGTTTTGAGATATAATAAAATCTACATAACTGGCATCCCCTCTACCTGCCTTAATCCTTGCCAGTAATGTCAACACTATTTGATGGGCCTACCTACTACTCCCTCTCCAATCAACACTACCATAGCTTTCACCACTTATGTCAATGAGCCTACTTTTCTATATCATCACAAATTTGAACAAGATGGAAACTCCAAATACAAACGAGTCAAAGTAATGCTAGATGATGCTTGTACCCAGCAGTAGTGGTAAAGTGAAATACACTGAAAGAAGTGTAAGCCATCCACAATTTTAAGGCCAATTATGACTGATTTTGAACATCGGTTAAAATAAAATGCAACAGGTAGAACAAGGCTAATAGGCAAGGGATAATGCGCTAGACCTCACTTCTGTAGTTTGTATTAGGTAAACACCGTTATCACCGGGAGATAAACAAAGAGGACCAGTGGAAGTTGTAGTACTGAAAGGTCACACTTGGTCCTTCAAACCATTTCCATTATTACTTGCAGGACGAGTATGATGTTCATAACAAATGAACTGAGCAAACCTTACATAGTTGTGTTGGTAAGTGGAATGCCCTGGAAGAACAGCTTGTGTAGTGTCACTGTAGTTCACAACATTTAAGAAAATATTAAAAAGACCACAGCTGCCAATATTGCCACCACCACCCTTTCAATCACATCTAATACTATGATGGAAGGAAAGGTAGGCCTATCACTACCCTATAATCATTGTATCCCCTATTCATTTTTTTTATCCTGATATTTGACAGCTTGGGGAGACCCCTTGTGATTAGATACAACTGAGAATTGTGTATTTTATGCTTCATTTGGGGAAATATGTGCAGTATTTTCTAGAAAAGTGCTTCAAAGTTGATCAGAGTAAATTTGCAAATCACATGGCTAAATTTGTGTGCATTTTGATGTTCTGTTACATAGGTTATATATGTTATTGTTACTAAATGAATGTCTTGTGCTACACTTAAAGGTTTGCCCCTAAAATTAGCCCAATGCTTAAAAGTTGCACATTTTTTAGCAAAGCACCAAATTATTAATTTTTTGTGTATTGTAATTTTCTGTAAAAAATATATACTAGGAGCTATGTTCATGCACTTTTTTTTTTTTTTTTTTGTTTTTTGTTTTTGTTTGTTTTTCCCACCCCCACAGGAGATTTTGAATATTGATGCTTGTACTGTTTTAAAAAGTGTCTACGGGCTCACCATAGCCCGTGCTACCTAGAACTTTTTGTTCCAGGTAGCGAATCTTAAACAACAACAATTTAAAAAGTGAATGTTCTATTTTAGTATAATTTTATCTTAATATACCTTCATTGCTTTGAAGTTAGAGACTTTCAGGATTAGTTACAAATTTTACATAATGTGAAAAAAATGTGTTTAACAAAATGTCAATAAATGCAACAATTTAACAAATGTTGAACTGTTGCATTTAATGAAGTTTGAGAAATTGCATGAAAATGGAGAGCCAGGTACTAAGCTATGAAGGATATTTGTCCAAAGTTCATTGCTGAACTGCATAACAAAGATGGTGGTTCTCATGGCTAGGATTACAGCGTGGTCTTAAAAGCAGGGTCTTAAAATTTTCATCAAGGATGATCTTCCAAAATATTTTTCATTAATAAAGTATTCTCAATAAAGAGCGCCTGGTGAACTTGTTACTGTGTATTAACCTTATTTCAACTAATAATTGCACATGTACTATCAGTATAATAGCAGTAAAGTCCACTTAAATTTGTTTGTATGGTGCCAGATATTTTGTGTAGGGGCATACTGTACTGTATATTACAGTATTTTGATGACTGGTACAGCATTTTTTTTGTTTAGCGCAATATACCGACAATTAAGTAATTAATTCTCTAAAGAAGGCTCCAAGCCGGGATACAGTCATAAAACTTACTTGACAGTCTTAAACAAGTGCACCAGAGGACAAAGGAAGAAACTCACTGATATTACTGGGCACTGTTTTCTCACTGCTGAGCGTGCCACAGTAACTGGCGACCTGAATGTGATGCGATTGGCCGATTGTGTTCTCGGAAAAAGAAAAAGAAATGAATAATTAAGAAATTTCCATACCTGGTTTATGGCCTAATTTCTTCCCCTCCCCCTACAAAAAATAAAGTAACTGTACTTTACAGTATAATACGTAAGAACCATAAATAATGGACAAATTATTTTTACAATATTAAAACAATTACAGGTAAGTACTGGTTTATGTTTGTAAATTGCTGCACTTCAATGTTTCAACGACAGGCACAAGCAAAATTGGGATGGGCAGAATGTGTATTCCGGAATACACATTCACAAAGGAAAAAATATGAAAAATCTCTTCATAACACGTCGAGTACACTGGTGCAGGCCCCTCCCTTCCCCCTACTCAAGCCCAAGTCCAGACACCAATATTCTTTATCACAGCAGCCCCCTTCGGCGGTTCTGTGACAAACGTGTGTAGCAATTACATTAATGCTTTGATTGGCCACCCAGCTTTGTTGCCCGTCATCATAGCAGGCTGGAGGAGGAAGCAGAAGCTACCCTTCTGCACCGAAATAGCCCACAAGCGCTCCCTAACCACACGCAAGGGTGTGGTGCTCGTGGTTAATGGAGCTAATAAGGCAGAATTCATGTAGGGGCGCTTCATTGCTCTCGACACCTAGGTTATCTACTTTCGACTCGCGTTGGCAACGAAGCATCGCCTAGCTTCCTTGTGATAGAATTGTTTAACACCATTATACAAGGTGATGATACCCTGCTTAAATCAGTTTTAAAGCTCTCCTCAGAATGTTGCTGGTTAACAAGTATCGCACTGCTATAATTGCCATTTGTGTATAATTGTATTATATTTTGTAAAATTCAATTATAAATCCACTGCAAATGGACTGATAAAACACATTACACATTTTATAAATACACTTTATTGACTCGCTACATCTAATTGTATAAAACTACGCTTTCCGGTATAAAGTTAACTTCAAGTGCTCACATTAAGCCCATGGGGTTACTTCCTCACAGGTAAGCTGGAATTAACATGGGCGACCTGAAAACGTCCTGTAGGAGAGCCAAGCGTCGACACCATGAACCACTCCTAGCACCAGTCCCAGGATCTGCAAGACAAATGATAACTGCTCGTTTACGTTTATTAACCCTTAAATTGACGTGAACAGTCATTGACGTAAATCTACGTCAATTGATTTGACGTCAAAAGATCAATTGACGTAAATCTATGGTTTTTTACACCATAGAAATTTACGATAAAACTGTTTGGCAATTATTGCACAAAGTTATAAATCATAATTGTTACCTCAATTCAATTACTTTCTTTATTACGCACCCCCATACTACCCATCCCGTGGGCGGTGGTGTAAAGGATTACCTTATGCATAACACATTATTAACTCAAAGGAGTTTCGAAGCATGTATTACCACCGTGCTCAAAATATTTGGATAAAAAAAACATTAAAAAAATCCTTTGATCGGCACAGCAACAGCCCCACACTTCCTCTAGGGGTTGGCGTTGCATTCTCAAGGGGTTAAAGGAAGCGGTTGGGCACTGTTCTGTCCTCATCACTTACCCTGTACTTTTACTAGCTTAGCGCTTTCTCCTAATAATTACCTTACTTTTATTCACCCAAATTTGTAAACTTTTTCCACTTAAATTCCACAAAGACACGAAAATAAGGGGTTATCTAAATTAGATTAACTCATATCGCTTCCAGAATTTAATTAATTTGAAATTCTGTACATTCAAGGAGAATTTGAGAGAGAACTCAAAATTTGAAAGGTAAATAATTTTACGAGTGTGCAGTAATGTAAATGATGTGAGAATGTAAATAACTTTATATTAAATGGTAATTTTTTTTTTTTTTTACAAGAACACAACAGTATCACAGTGAAAGGTCCCGGGTTTGATTCCTGCTGCAGGACAAGCATGTGGGCAATGTGTCCTGTCACCCGATGCCTCTGCTCACCTAGCAGTAACTAGAGGCCAAAAATTGTCGAACTAGAAAATGGAAGTGGCTCGCGAAACTTACATACTATTTTGGGTCCACTGGTACGTTAGGATAAGGGCACTTTATTAAGACAATTTCTTGACATTCAGAAACATTAGAAGAAAACAGTAACCCACAATGAGTAACCCCTCGCGATTATTAATCATTTACACAATTTTAAATTAATACTTTACTGTTTTGCAGATGAATATTTACACAGTGCGCACAGTATGGACCTGTGATTTAAGCGAATACTCTTAAAACACTCACATAAGTGGCCGTCATAGCCGGGTAGACTGTGAAGTAGGGCGTGGTAAGGTATGAGATCCACAGGAAGGTCTGGACTGACCATGACAGGTACGGTGCAGCCGTCAGATACATGAGGCAGGCCAAGGTGTTAAACACTACCTCCTGTAAGGGTTAAAATAAACTTTTAAGCCAGGTATTTAATTGGATATGGCACTCGAAGGCTAATTTTATAATACTTTTGCGAGCACTTTACTAGAAATATTTGGCACACACGGTATATCTGTTGTACAGTTAACTTTCTCTTGTTTTGATCAGTTTTCCAAGTTCAGTCCTGTGGGTAAAAGGTGGTGCTGGGTAGGATCAAGACCATAAGAGGCAGAAAGCAATCTCAAGCTGTACCATAAAGATACTACTAGAGAGGAAGTTTCGGCAAATTATCCATGAAGGCCGATGAGAATGTAATTCGGCAAACTTGTATCTCCTGGTAGTATTTTACAATGAACCAAAAAAGTAAAAAAAAAAAAAAGTTAAAAAAAAAAAAATACGGGCTCAGCGCTTTCTTTAGATAATGAATTTCTTTTATAAACAACAAAATATTTTAAGACATTTCGATGCAATCACTTAGCCATATGTATTGGAACATACAACATATGTTCCAACAAGGTGATGCCCAATTCGATGTATGCATTGGCATTTAATCAATAGATTCCAATTCAAACTTTAATGTGAAAGGTTAACTGACCAGCACAGACGAGCGGATGAGACTGAAGGAGTTAGCAGAGATGAGGTAGCAGAATGTTAGGAGGCTGACCACCAGAATGCAGGCAGAATTGGTGACCATGTAGAAGGTGAAGGATTCTCCTATTCTTGAGCTGTAGGGTAGCCCGTAGTTCATCACCAGAGTAAGGCTGATTGCAGACAAGACCTGTAGTATTAGTTATAACAATATCAAACTTAGGTCTGAGGAAGACTTTTCGTGTGTTCCGTAATCTCTAGAGCAATGGTTCTCAAGACTAGAGAGAGGCGCACAAACTAGCCACCGCTGGCAGAAATAATGCCAATTAGTATGACTAACTTATAACAGGCTACAAAATACATTTGCATCTAAAAGTTATTAAAATGTATGAGCATAAACCCGACATCCGTCAAGCTTTTAATGTTATTTATTATTAGTCATATATTAAATTTACAACCTTGATATTCATACCAGTTGGATTATCTTGAGCCAGCCGAACTTGGATCTGAGGAAGCCGAGATGAATACAAGTACAGCACGTACAGCAGCCACAGTTAATGCCAGCCTCGCCACCTCTGGCGAAGGCTGAGGGTTGGACGACTGTGGGCCGGCCGGCGCCAGCGCTCCATCCCACAGAAGGCCCGTGTGGCGCCATGCTGTAGTACTGTTATTGTTACTGGGATTTCTGACAAGGGGAGAAATACAAGCTAGAGCAAAGAGAAACAAAATAAGGTATGCAAATTTTTCACTATAAATATCAGCCGATACAAATCACTTTGATTTCTCCAGCGTTTTCAAAACTGAAAATTCTTCACTTTAATATAAAATAATATATACATATAGAATATTGAGGTCATACACACGGGGACCAAGCCTGGATAACTAGCACTCAAAATTTCATTCCCGGATATCTTCCAATGTGTTAACACGAGAGGAAAGCGAGCTATTTGAAAAGCATGTCACCAATGACTTAGTAGTGTAATCTTTAATCGCAAAAGCCCCACGTACTCCTCTAAGACTTATTAAACGACTTTACAGGTATTTACACAACGACGATCATGTTTGACGAATTTACTTTCGTTCTTTGACAACAGGTTTGATGCATTGCAATAGATATTATAATACACCTAGTCTTTAGCAAGGCTTTGGATACTGCTCCACACGAAGGACAAGGCAAAGTAACATGGTCAGTTTAAGATGTCCCTCCACTGCCAATTCATGGACGTCGTACAGGAAGGAGCATCAGAATAAATGAGTTACAGTTGTCCAGTCAACTGACGCGCCCCTGGGATCTATCTTGGGACCTTTACTGGTCCCATTCAGAAATTAATAGATTTTTGACAGTTAACTTACGGTAGGAAAGTTCATTTTCCCTGTGCAAAGGAGAAAAAGAAGTTATCCCTAGAGAACTAAACTTACATCTTCAAAGAAATGAACTAGACGAGAATAGCGTGCATGATTTCTTATGCTATTCAGAGTTTATTACATTTAATTCGTCAGTCATCACTAAGAAATTAAGGATGTTTACTACAGAGCCTCTGAAATTCATAAGACAAGTAGTTTTCTGCTATGCAGATACTTCAGCAGTTATATTAGTCTTGTTTATCCGAGATGAATGCCCGTTTGGCTTATAGGAGGTTTCTTAGCTAACGACTGACCTTCCCTATAATCTATCCCACAACTATTTTCCACAGGTACTATTTACTGTTGAGTAAACAGAAGCATCAAACTAATTTATGCCGAGGTCTTGTCCAAGAAACTAAAATTAGCTGCGAACCGACTTAGGCTTCAGGTACAACACCGGAGATCAGCTATCAACCGCAAGAGGGCTATTAAAGGCCATCACAATAGCTTACTGATCACGGGAGACATCTCCCGTCACGCAGGGTGCAGTCGCACCTCCACAGATCTCCAGTATCGGCGCTTTATACTGGTAATGGCTCAAAAGAGCGACCATTTACGGGCTATTCATGCCCGTACCACCTTTTGGGTGGCTTAATCTTTATCAATCAATCGCTTACTGACACGACACAGACCGAGCTATTGGGTATTTATCTAGCCACTGAATACCTTAAGCTCAATGGTGGTGGAGTTATTTTCTGTGACTCTAAAAGTGCTCTGCAGTCCTTAAATAACCCATCACAATGTATGTCGGAAGTAGCTTGTAATATTAAATGGAATGTAATTTTTGCCAATGATAATAATTCTTGTATAAAATTTGTGTGGATCCCATCCCATGTTGGAGTTGAAAAACATGACTTTGTAGATCAATTGGCCAATGAGGCTTGCAGGAAAGAAAACATTGATTATGACTTTGGACTATCTAATGCAGTTATTAGAAACATACAAATTAAAGAAAATAATTCAGATTTAGAAGAACTAAGAAATGCACAGAGACCTGAAAGCTGCAGTATTAAAAGTTATGACAAGTTCTGTAATAATAGGTATTTGTATGGTCAGCACAGTATTCGGACCAGGCAATGTGATGTAGTAATTGCACGAATTCGCCTTGGCTATAGACACATCTGGCAGGTTAGTGAGGCTGAGCCACTACCAGAATATTCAGATTGTAAACTCTGTGATAAACCTTTAATGCATTCACTAGAACACTATATTGATGAATGTGAAACCGTAAAGGACTTTAGACCTCCTGGCCTATTGTACCACCAACTGTGTAACTATTTTATTGACTCAGGTGTTCTGGACGACATCCTAACAATTTACCCAAAATTTGCTTGTCCATTTTAAAGAATGAAGAACAATTTTTATTTATATTCTAAGCTGTATCATTTATGAACCCATCCCTGCCCTTGTGTGGCAGTGCACAATAGAAAGTTGTTTTCACATATCCACACATTAAAACATTGATTGTAACCATGATATATATGTGCTTCAGCCTACAGTTTAGACCTATTGTCTTATGTATGACCCTCTGTCCTGCGTGACAGTGAATACTAGCATTAACCTCAATTTAATAAGACTATCAAAATCCTCAGATTAGGCAAAATTGTAATTAATTTTGTCAATGTTAATAATAATAATAATCGCTTACTGAAAGTTACAGCCCCGCTCCCGTGTCAGGGAAGTCCACAACGGGTTCACCATAACCCGTGCTACTTCGAAAGTGTTCCGAGTAGCAGATTGTAAAACCAACAGCTTACTGACCACCAGCAAGTATAATTTAAGTCCCCTCAACACAGTTCAGGACTAGAGCCGTTCAGTTTATCATGCTCCGCACAACCCATCCCGTGGGCGGTAGTGGACAATGTTACAAGGCTCATGGAGCTCTAGGGCAAAACCTCCAAAATTTGTTAGCTAAGCAAGTTACACGTTAAACAGAGCGACTAGCTATTAGCGTTATATCAACAATGGGTTAGATTACGACAAACTATATATACATGGAAAAGTGGGATACACCCGCGTGTATTCCTTGACATGGCTGCTGTGGAACCTTACTTCATTATTTCTCAATACTATGCCTTTGGATTCAATTGTCCGGCAATTACGTTAACCTAGAAAACCGATAAATTAATGTTATTGGTAAACAAAACTTCCCAAAGAAAGTTTTGTTGACCAGACCACACACTAGAAGGCGAAGGGACGACGACGTTTCGGTCCGTCCTGGACCATTCTCAAGTCGATTGTGAAGTTGTGTAATTGTGTAATTCCCCAAAGAAAATTATTTAAAATTTTATGGATATATCAAACCTCCATGTAGACTACAATAGCTAAACCTTTCCGAAAAGCCTAGAGAATAAAAAAAGCGCGAAAAGTATCTGCGCAGCACTGTAGGTTTGTTTTGTCTTTTAAGTTACAATGGGACCGGGAGCCGAGGTGTAACATCCCCGTCTATGTTCTGTCTAAACAAGTCTAGATTACGTAAGTGGCTCTTTTTACAAGAAATATTTTCATTTTACTAGCGACATTCTTCGGCCGTTTGAGTAGTGCGTGCCATCAAATCAGTACGGACAACAGCCACATCTCCGTTCTTCCAAAGGACTGCAATAACTGTCGTCCGTGGTAAGCCCGTTAATGTCCATTTTCAGGCAAGCCACTGCGTTACACAGTTCACATATACCCGTGTCGAGGACAATAGACTGACCTGGGTGGGTGGCGGCGGCGGGTGCTGGGGCGGTGCGCGAGGTACTGGCAGTGACAGCCTAGGACCAGTCACTTGCCTCCTGCTGCCGCCACCAGCTATTTCGAGACGAGTCGCGCCCACCACTGTCACCACCCCCGCCCCCGCGACATCCGCTCAGAGTTAAAGATTTTGTAGGGGCAGTTAATCTTCCTTTGTCTTAAAAATTGGTTACTGGTAATATTCCAAAAGGTTATGCCACAAAATACTAAATTAACCCCCATGTTATATTGTGCAGGACTGGCGATCCAAGACTTGCACATTTACACGCCTGATTGAACAAAGCCAATTACCATTTGGTGAAGATCACGCAACTCTGACAAGGGTTGGCCGGTCTGTAACAGTAACGCGTAATGGGCCATTTGTATATTAAGACAAACACGTTAAGTTTTCATCAAGATTTTTTCATAGATCCACTCCCGTCTGACGGGCGTGTTCAATCATGCTTCACTCCAACCCATAACCCCCCCTCAATAGCCGCTATAAATAAAGCCGACAAAACTGTCCTCCAAAAAAATTTGTTTACCACTAACTGCTAAAATGTTAAAGTAAACTTTGTCCCAAGCCAAAAGTACCGAACTTAAAACATTATTCAAGCTTAAAAGGATAAAAATATTGCCCTCTAGCTTTACAAATTAGAAAATGGACTGGCACTAGTATCAATACTTTGCACTTCTGTCCACAGCAATTATTGACACTAAATTTGACAGTGCCAGAATATTTACTCATGAACAGGCAAGCAAGTCTGAAATTTTATAACGTATCTAGCATAAATTTTTAAACTAAATACAAAATAAGTTTTCAATAACCCCCCCTCCCCACCATCAACTTTCAGAATTTAAATTTCACTTTTCTATTTCAAATTATTGAATCTGGTGAAATTACGACTAATCTCTTTCCTTTTGCACTAAAAACCAGGCGCCAACAAAAAATCCCAACGCGAGGTACTAGACTGAAAAGTGTGCAAGGTATTTTAGCACACGTACCCGTTGACCAACCAAGCCAAAAAGGATAAATTCAATTATGTGCATCATTACCGATTCTTACCAGCAGTAAGTCAAATTGTTAAGCATGCTTAAAAGCTTTGGGAACACTTTCCAGGCCATGTTTATTGGGACTTTGTCCAAACCTTATGCATCTACCTGTTGACAGGTTACTTCAACCCCACCATCCTGGTTTAAGCATTTTCCAGACAGTTACCTGAACAAGGTTGCTCTCCATATTTACCGAAGCATCCGTCCAGGTTTTCGTATAAATCTGCGGCTTCATTCATTGAATACAGTAACGAGTTTTAAGTCATTTATTAAAGTGGTATTTACAATAAACTCTGTACAGACTGTGGTGGTTTTAAACAATATAATCACGGGCTTAAATAATTAGATAAAATCCACTAAAATTCCAGCTGGCTGGTAACTTTGAATAATTTACATTGGTTCAAGTCGGTCCTTCTCCACTACAGGTTTAGTGGGAAGCTTTCCAAGTTTCAAGTTAAGAATCCACTCCACTCTTGGCGACCATCGCAGTACCTGTTGCAATACTCGTCTGACCAACCTCTGCAGCCATCCAGGCGAGTTTGACACCACAGCTGCAACAAGATAACACTTTCTATTGCTTCCTATACAACAATTAAAGGGCTTACAGTCAATAAAAAATGGACAACATTTGATCACTGCTTTCGGGCAACACTGCAGGATTTACCTTGCCACTGGGTTGGCACACACAGTACATGCATGGGGACACTGGTACAAGTCTGCCGGCAGGGTATAGTTTCTCCTGGAACGCGCACTCCTTCGCCTTCTGGTAAGGGTCTTCAGTCCATAGTTCTATATTTGTTCCAGGTAGACGGTGGCACGGAAGCGGGACGTTTCTGTAGATAAAATTCCTTATAATGATGGCACCATAGATAAATTTTGTAGTTTTCAGTATTTGAAGAATTGGCAAATTAGTAACTACGTGTTCGCAATACTCACATTTCGTCATAGATATCGAAGATTCTCCTTGGTACTACAGCAGCCCTGTCGTCCAAGTTGTCGCAGACTACGCGCGCCAGCGAGGACTGACGGATCGACTGCAGCTGATCGTGCGATAGTCTTGAATCAGCATTTTCGTACCTGTTCTGATATATTTAATAAAAGTACGCTGCTTACGGCCTTTTAGAACGTTACAAAATTACCTACATACTTAAAAGTACACTTTATAATGGTCCAGGACTGAAAGTTAATCGTTTCGACACTGAAGCAAAGTTTGGCCATCAACTGATCTAGGCGCTTTCACCACAACCAGCCATTTTAAGGTGATAAATATGGGGGTACATAAACCTAGACGGGAGAAAGTTGGTTTCTTTTAAAGTTATATTTCAGAACCAACTAACTCCCCAATTTTGGCCAATACGATTCTCGAGCTCAAAATTTAAACATGTAACTCAAAAACCACTTGCATATTCCAGACTTTTTCAAGGGTACGTTTAACACTTTGTACCGTTTCCCCGTTCCAAAGACCTACAGTATTTTGGACCCGATAACTACAATCATTACCATGAAGACAAGTTTTATACTTCCTAGCCGTTTTAAGACACTAACGATGTTACATTCAGAACTGGTTACGCTGCAATGTTACTTTTTGGCTAACTTAAGAGATAATTTGCCGAATATTAGAGTTCTGCAATGTCTGCATCCTTTAAAAAAAAGTTCTGAATTATTTGCCAAGACCAGAAGAATTAGATATTATTGGAAAGTACCTAGATAAAATCTAGACCAATACGAAACCAGAGACTAGTAATAGCAAATTAATCCATTTTAATCCTGGGCTAATTTTTCCAAAATGCATCCTATATTCTCGTCTCTCCCGGGGATTGAATAAGTGATCCGGTTGTAAAGCTAGGTTTAATAATTAATGACAAATCTAGCGATTTTTTATCTCTCCTTCCCAGTGGGAATTTATTCTCTAGTAACGAAGACCTTGGGGGGGGGGGGTGTTTGGATTAGAGAAGAAAAACAATTTTAGGGCATCTGCCAACTTTACCAACTTTAAAGTAAGCGATCAGTTTTGCACCACTTCCGTGCCTGCCTCTAAATCGGATTGAGCAATGCATTAAGTTATTGACCACCACAAACTACTAGTCTTAAGAATTTGACAGCAGAGGAAAATGTCTAAAGTGATGCAAGGCGCGAATAGTACACCCTGACCACCTTTTAAACCTTCACAGAACAGTGCTGGTCTTACCAAAATCTGTCTCCACGTTTCAAGTTGAGAAACTGGTACGCAATGATGCAGGATAATGTTGGACCCAACAAGGCTCCTGGGAGAGATTCTTCTGCCTGTGAAGAAAGTTTAAGCAGGAAAAATTGTGGGCTTTTATAATGTAGTTAGCAAAATTTGATTAATATGCCGTGTGGACGAATAGTAAACTACAGATAACATTACCAATTCTTAATTTATTTAACCCTATGAAGTAAATGTTGGTTAGGTACAAAGCGGGGAATTTGTCAATATAGTGAATATTAGTGGAATTTATCCAGTTTAAACTTACGCCGACTAAACATTTTTACACATCACTAAGGAAGATTATTACCAAGTTTCACTGAAGTGAAAAAGAATCAAACTAGATTTCCGAATCTTTGTATTGGCATTTAAGAAATTCAAATTTTCGCAGTAACGAAGACATTAGATTTGAACCTTTTAACAATGAGCTTAATAAATGTGCGACTATTCTAGCTACCTTAAGAAAACCATGTATGCAAGTTCAATTACACTTTTGTGAACTTTAGGAAGTTATTAATTAAAACTTTGTGCAAATTTGTACCGGGTTTTGGTACAAAGCCTACTGCAGTGGTTACCAAGCTTCATGGGGTCGGGACCCTCGCCAAGAAAAAAAAAAGAAAAAGAAAAAAAAGACCGATGGGTACCGGAACCCAATTGTAGAGTACTAGACGATTCCCAATGGAAGTATTTTTCAGATAAAGAAGTAGCATGCCTGCCGATTTAAAAAAAAAGAAGACGAGGTCGCAGGTCGCGAATATTAGAAAACTAGTTAAAAACAAACATTGGGCATCAACTAGTTTGAAAGTATTCATATGCTAAGTCACATCGGCGTGACTGTCCATTATCTAGGGATTTTGTCTTCTCTGAATGACTTTCTACAACTATGAAAATTCTTACCAGCCCCCCAACAATGAGGTCTACATCCTGTATGCTAGAATATATGCTTTTCAAAACATCCAAGTTATTTCTGTGCAAGAGTGTCTTCAGGTCTTCAAAAGTAGCCATTTTATCCCTTCCACAAGCTGAAGCGTAGGCGTGGTATGGCGCTATCCCGTGATCACGACCTGCAGGGGAAAAAATTATAGCCAAATATATTTTTTGTAGTCTCACCGAGTTAGTAAATGTTGAAAGTTTAGGCAGCAGCTTTGAACATTAGCGCATGACAACTTTTGCTTTGGTGTAAGTTAACAGGGTAAGGCGAGGGGCAACTTTACGAGAACCAAGTCTCTTAATAATGTACATTTGAGAAAAAAAATTAGGCTTCATTAACCACCGTGCTGCGCAGAGCCCCTCGAGGCGCTCTGAGAGTTTCTATTTTAATTAGGCTACATTTTAAATATTTATCACCGTTTTGAAATTAAAATGAATTAATTTGGAAACAAACATTAACTTTCCCTGAACATTTATAAAAATAAAAGCGTCTTTTACAATTTCATTATGATTTTTTGCCGAAACCAGGTGCACAGAGCAGTGGTTAAGTTACTTTTGTACTCTGAGATTGAGGTGCTAAATTGTTAGGTTAACGAGAAGTCTCTCACCACTTTGAATTAAATATAGCATGAGAAGTTAATAAACTTTGTTAGTGTGAAAGTCATTTACAATATTGTAAAGTAAACTATTCCATATTTGCCATTCTAAACACTGATCAAAAATAAATTTGCAATTATAATTAATAAATCAAAACTGCAAGTGAAAACTTGCCTCTTGCAATGTTCAAAGCCAGGAGATCCTGGCCAGAGCTGGGAACACCCACACGCTCGAAGAGTCTATTGGTGACCGAGTCTACGATGGCCATGTCCACACCGTTCACTCTTGTACCAATCAGCCCTCTCAACAGCTCTTCAAATTTACCTTCCTATACAATTAAAAAACATTTGTTCCACATTTCACTAAATTTAAGAAATAATGTAAAGGGAAGCTTTCAACTAAACTTAAAAGGGCATTAACCAGATTGCCATGATATTTCTAATCTAGAAGGGTGAATGCGCAACATCTGCCTATTCATGTGTAGTAATCTATAGAGAATCAAAACTTTCATGTAGGTGCAGACTTGCGTTGCATGCATGATAAATACTTTAATCAAACTTTTGTAAAAGGCGGGGGGGGGGGGGGGGGGGGGGGGGGGGGGAATAGAGACGCAACAGCGATTGACCACAAGTAGGGTGGTTTCCACATGACCCACACAATCCAAGTTACCACAATACCAAAGAAACTCAAGACCGTCTTACTCTTTACACCAACCTACCCCAAGCACCGCCGAGGGGTTCTGGAAGGTCTGTACCAGGGGTATGGAGCCCACGGGACCGTAACGACCGTCCAGAAGCATCACATCGTCTGGGATCATTGTGTGACCCATCCTGAAGGCTGCCGTCGCAAACTCGTTCATTACGCCAGGATTAACCTTGACATCATAATCCTAAAAACAACAAAATGGATGAAGTTAATGACATTCACCAGAATATTGTCCAAATTGCTGTGTCAGCCGGTATACATTTGAAGGAACCAAAACACTTTATCCGCTATGTTGCCGTTTACATTACAAGGAAATTAATCTAACTGCTAAAACTTTAATTTATTTAATTAAGCAATTTGGAAAAAATAATATTTATAATTTATACTTTAGCTTTCAGACATTTCGGAAGAGAAAGTTCTGTATAGTCGACTTTAAGATAGTACAAAAGTGAAGCAACTTTAGTCTTTCACACAGAATTAAGGGCCCATGGTACCAGGATATAAGAAATTGTTGTAGGGTATTCATAATTTATTATCCTGATACATGTGAAAGGTGCTGCACCTAGGCCAAGTTTCAGCATCTCAGCCTAAATAGAGACGGAGAAAAAAAAAAAAATTGAATTTTTCAACCATGTTCAATTGATTTCACAGCCCACAATTGTGAACCAAAATCATTTCTACGACACGCAGGTATGACCTTACTATATAATAAAGATTTGCACGTCACATTATCCCAGATGTATTTAGTGCAATAACACAGATTTATAAAAGTTTCCCAAAAACGTATGCAACAAAATGAAGTGTATCATTATTTATAAAATCAATAAATCTACGTAGATAATAATGACATCCGTTTATAGAGGCGTAAACTCTACATATAATGTGCAAGTTTCATGTAAATTGAATAATAAATAAAGGCTGCGAGACCGGATCTAGTTGTAAAAGTTGGAGTTGCGTAGCGCACGCGACAAGTTACTCTACTGGCGGTCACCCGTGACAATGCGTGATTTACGCATTGCGGCCAGCTAGTACCTTCTATGGAGAGCTCGCATGCATCTGGCTTTCAATGCTTGTCTCTTGTTCATTTGGCAAGTCATATTGCAATACAAATAATAATAGCAGGAGTTCTAGGAGATATTGTGAGCGCGCGTCAGCGATAGAACCACTCCCCACGAAAGACGTACAGTCACTGATGGGCTGAGCCACGTACCACCCTCTCTCTCGCACGATACTGTTGCCAATGAGTGAGTTTATATTCATTTTATGCATAACATGTTATTTTCAACGCTATTACGAAAAATAAGACTTCTACAACGTAAGATACAATACCCCGCGGCGCACTCACGCCACGAGGACCAGATTCACGAAAGTTGCAGCGGGAAATTTGACTAATTACGTTATTTTTCAATATATCATTAAACGGTTTGGACCACAGTGTTGCCAGAACGTTGTAGTATTTTTCGTAAATATTCCATTTTTCTTCGGATTTTCGGTTACCATGGCCCCTTAAAAAACATTAAAGTCAGACCCGTAGGTAATTCAAGAGGGGGGGGGGGAACAGGCCTGGGAAAGATTGACTGTTCTGCGTCAGAGAAAATACTTTTCTAAATAGTCAGGATGTCAAAGGTGGGGGATATCAGACCAAGGACAGTTACTGAAGGAACACTGCTATCATTTTTGCTCTTAAATCAAGAGCAAGGAAGAAGCATGAAGGAGGCCCTTGAGGGACTTTTACAATACGATGCGAGGCTATATTGAACTACAAAACGACGTTCAGTATTTTAGTAACTTTCTCTGGTTATGTCCAAAGTTACTAAGCATTCACAATTTAAAACTTATAGTATATTTTTTAATCAATGAAGTTACGTTTGCTGCCATTTTACAAATTCAGATACATTATATAGCTCCCACTATATAGGGCAAGGTTGGCAACTCACCAAGTATGATTCATAACTTCTCGCCTCCGGGCTTAGATTTTAGATTAACATAGGTTAAGAAATGTTATATCTGAAGTTTGTAGTCTAACTTTAAACAAAACTACAGCTTTATTAGGAACGTAATTAACATTTATACCGAGTGGTAATGCCAACCCGAAGCAGTTAATTTAAACACTTCAGCATTAGTATACATTCGAGTCCTACCGCAGCTTTAGTGATTAAGTTTACATACATTTGTCCAGTCATTAGAAAAAAATACTTCCGTGTTAAAGACTTTCCATACCTGGTAGTATCCACTGCTTCTTGGCGGGAGTTTATATTCTTCCATTCTCCGTCTTCCAATAAGCACGGGAAGAAATTCTTTGTAAACAATGTTTTGAAATTGTGCGATGTTTATTCTTCGCGCTTCCTAGAGATTTGTAAAAAAGTAAACATTAGGACAAAATATGCAGAAGGCCTTTTGGCTTGTCAAAGGCAAGTTTTTTATAACAAGGCAAACTACGCCAGACATGTCTTAAGATTTAACCAATCAAACGATCCACTCAATTTTTTTCCTTGCAAAATAAACTTCTACACCAGTATTTACCTAGAATCTATGGACCTAAACTTTTATAAACATTGCCATTTTAAGAGTTGGATTATGCGTTTGTGTGTAACTAAACCCTTTCCCGGTCATGTCCTTCCATCCGTTTAGAGGAGGTTCCCAATACAATATTTTCTAGAATCCAGAATTTAAATTAAACTTTACAAAAGGTACAAAACTTAGTTTTATCTGTACACATTCAAACTAATTTACATCAATTCCATAGTGTGCTCAAAACTGAATTTTATAGTGCAGAGCGCGCTTAAAGACAGGGTTAAACCGACTACTTCGTGTCTAATAACTACCCATGACCTGGGGAACTAGCATCTTTTTTAGCTTTGTTTATGTCTTACACTTTCTTACTCTGGATCATTATTAATTATTATCGATCTTATTCACGTTTAACACAATCCCATTATTAGCGTCACTTCAGCATTAAATCCTACATTTGTCCGTTTTAAACCGCAGCTACCAATCCTCCGGAGATTTTAAAAGCATGTATCTAAATATTTACTACCACCACCACCACCTTAGAAAATTGCGATTTAAATATTACCTTTAAGATGTACGTGGCGGTAAGGATACAAATTTGGAAGCAAACTGAACAGACACTGTACCTGATAAAGCCTCTCATCATCCCAGTGACTATTGATCCTGTTTAGTCTTGTGGCGAGTCTGTTGTGTTCACGGAGGAAGAGGGAGTGGATCACTAGCAGCAACAGGTGTTCATTGCTTCTGTGAACATTGAACAATAGTTCAACAGGCAAGACAACTAGGCAATGCATTTTTAACAATGTTCATACAACTATTCGTCCCTCTTTCTGTAATCTAGTAGCTTGTTTAACATGTAGTCCAATTAACGGGACATTATCTATTGATCGCTTATCGTTTTAAACTCATATTGCAAGATTAACAAAGGAAGGTTGCGCAGCATCCGTATTTACTGTTCTAGCCCTCAGCCGTGGGCTTAAGGGAGTTTAGAATGGCAGCATTTACAAAATTTTGAGGCAATATTCACTACGTGCAAAGCAAGCAGGAGGCAGATTAAAAAGTCAAATAACGGCCGAAACGGTAATAACCATGGAGGTAGGACAGGACAATGCCTATGGACTTTATAAAAAGAAACTTGTGGACCTTCCAAATACGAGGGATGAGAGTCCCTACAGTAAGGAGACTTAGGACAAACTACACGTCATCAAACATGCGTTCATAAAAAACGCCAAGGACACTCCCCAGGCTGCGCACACTGTTCGTTGTAAATATTAATGCCACTAAGAGCCATACTGTGGCACAGTGAAAGGCAGCATCTAGCAACGTGAAGTAAACTGAAGGACAGACTTATCAGGAAAGAGCAGCTTTGGTGGTGAAAATGTTAATGGACAAGATCAAGGTAAAATTCTGATGTAGTCGAGGAGCTGTCTCGTCAAGGCTATTAACTTAAAGAGGAGATGAGAAAACTAGGAGGAAAGTGCACGAGTTAAGCGTCTACTCGCCCGAATTCAAGTAATAAGATTGTAAAGGTCAAACTGGTTCTAAAAGACTGAATTTAGAACTTCGTCCTAGAGAAGTATCTGCAATTTTAGTGAAATACGGGGTCCGTCAAGTCTGAAAGTTGCTCAAAATCAATAACGCAGGAAAGGGTAGAGGGAAAAGTAGATCTGACTATACCATTTATTCATAAATAAATGGCAGGGGAACGCATGTTAAATTTAAAAGGGTGTAACAAATGTAGCAGTCCCGATTACGAGAGCAGTAGAGGTAGCAGCAACTGGAAAACTTTAAGACTTATTAACAGAACGCAAAAGTCACTAGGTAGAGTACCAAACCTACTCTGGCTTTAGAATTTTATTTTTTGAAGTGGCGAAAAAAAAAAAAATCCAAATGATTAATGAGACTCCTAAAATCCAAGAACCAGTACAGAAATTGTCATCATTAACGGTATAACTTAAGGGATTTATATATATTTTTTTTTTGTGGGGAAGGGGGGCCCCGATTCCTTCGAGAACTATGGTGGGTGTAATCAGTTTCCTTCCGCTATCAGGTGTTTAGTAAGAGCTATACATCGACTGTACCAGTTACAGCCCCGCCCCTGTAACACAAGTCCACTATGGGCCCACCATAGCCTGTGCTACTTTGCACTTTTGTTTTAGAGTAGCCGAATCTAAAAACTGACTGTACCCCGAGACCCCACAGACAATTCAAGGAGTTACATGACCAAAGATCACATTCACTCCAAACATCTACCATATACGGGTTATTCATGCCCGTGCCACCTCTTTGTGGCTTTATCTACAGCAGCAGCAGCAGCAGCAGCAGCAACGTGACTGTACTGGACAACCTAACCTATGCCAGTCTGGAGAAGTCCTACTGACCGCTCCTGCGGCTGGTCACTCGCCTGTCATCCCCGCCAAGGAAACACTTTCCCTGCGGCATCCGGCAGTCTTCAAACATTTCTGCTGGAGCTAAAGGTAGGAGGCCCCTCGGAGTCTCTCTCAGGCGTCCTGCAGAGTTCAACCTCAACTGCTCCTGCCGGCAGGCGGTGCTCCCATACACCTGCGGCACCAGCCAGTACTTTAGTGTGCTACAGCCATGATCTTTAACCCAGCAAAGTTTCAAGTTTCTTTAAGAATAGTATATCAAATTTATTCCCACGTCTGAACGGCCAAAAGTGTTCTGAAGTTAATTGTGAAACCATCTATGATTTAGACTTGTGCAGATTATAAGCGTGTTAACCATTGCATTTATTGCCAGTTTAAAGCTAGAACCTTAATATCAAGGCTACAATGTGTAGGCTCCATCAATTTGATATTTACAAGATTTAATTTTATGAGCCAAATTTAAAAATTTTAATTTTTCCTCTACTAATCCGTTCGGTTGAAGGCTCTCACCCCACCACCGCCCACCTGCCAAGTTCAGCCTTACCGAAGACAAGTCCAAGAAAGCCGTGTTGAAGTTCAGCTGCTGAAGTGTAAACCTTCCAGTGCCGTCCGGCTGCCAGACTCCAGCACTCCTGGAAACAAAGAGGGAATAAAAGAAGAAACTTTCATACAGCTCAAAAGGGACGAGACCAAATTAAAATTATTAGTTTAGATTTTAGTGTAACAAAGGTTGGCAGTCTTAAAAGCAGCCGAACATGTCTGAATTCAGTACCGGGATACTTTACTTTCAGAGTACCGAGCCAGGTCTAGGCCCCCTTGTGTGGGGGCGCCTTAAAGCACGCTGTTTACCAGTCTTCTCTTCCTCACACTAGAGTACCTACACAAAGTAGATGGAACGCAAAACGCTCACCCAAGAGCTTTGTACCGTTAGAAGTCTAAAATTAGCAATCTTAGCCTCAATTTGGTCCATTTTTACTTCACTAGGTAATTTTTTTTTTTTTTTTTTTTTTTTTTTTTTTTTAGGTACGCCGCCTTTTCTTCAACTACAAAATTAGAAAACTGCTACAATATACATTTTACGCGGTCCATTACTACATCTTTCCGTGGACATGTTAATTAGTTCCGTGTACTATGTCTACCTGCTGTATTTTCTGGGATTATGTCAATTGTTTGTAGGGGCCGCCAATGCTAGCCATTTCATACCTAGCTATTTTAAAATCATTAACCTTTCAGCCATAATATTTTAAAGTATTAAGTACAAACGTTGCCATTAAGTATTAATTTGTTGCACAAATATTTTAAACTATTAAAGTTGAATATGTTTAACAAGGGAAGACCCTATGATAGTACACTGTCAATCAAAGTAAAAAAATGCAATTTTAAAATATTACGGCATTTTTAATTAATCACTAATAATTACGTCACTGCAATCGAAGGGCTGTCAAGCCTGCTAAAGACAAATTTGAGCTTTATGCAAGATGCAATAGTCTAGCAAGACCGAAAGGTCTGAGTGGCTAAACCTTCAAGTTTAGCATTTGACTAGCAAAATATTGGGCGTCGCCGAACAATCACACATTACTTCACATTATTGTAAGGAAATGTGAGCAAACACTAAAATTTGAATTACCGTACAAGACTATTTACCAAGTGTTTGAGAATCTCGTTTGAAGGGATTTTAAAGTGATTGACAAAATAGGGGGCTGGGGGTGTTACCATTTCTGCTACGTAAATGGAACAGGAGGAGGAGGAGGACCGTAACATTAGTGCTATTCGCCGGCAACAACTTTACAAAACCCCAAATCCTTAGCCATGTGGGTTTAACCTGATAAATTGAAGGCATCTTCGTTTGCCAGTACGGTCGAACGTGGTCAGGAAGGCATCGTCAGGCGGCAGTGTGATGGGAGCACAGGCAGGGAACCTCCACGAGCTGCAATCTCCACAATCTGCTCCATTAACTACCAATATAAAAGCGATTATTAACTTTTAAAGAAAAAAAAGGGGGGGGGGGTTTGTAGCCCGTCTGCAAGACTTCATTGTAACTTTGAATTGGTAAAAGTTTTAAAAACTACGGTAACATTTAATTACAAGTTAAAATATAATTTAAGAACTTAACATTCCTGGTTATCAAATTAATTTACGCTGTATTAAATTTTTCCTCCATTATCAAACTGTCGTGAAACTTTCATATCATTCATTAGCCTCCGTCCCCTTATAAAAGGTATCCGAAACACTTGCCTGGAACCCTATGATTAACCACGAGATCGTGGTCAATTAACTGTCCTATCTGCATGAGGAGCACCGGGTGGGAGTGCGATCTCTTCCTCGGGGCGTTCCTCAACCCGAGGGTCACCATACGAGGGCTGGGCAGTAGACCTCCGCTCACACTGCGGGTGCGCATGTAGGCAACATCTGCGTGCAAGAACGACACTTTCTGAAGTAAGCAGCCTCGCAGGGCATGTGGGGGAGGTTAGAAAGGCGTTCTGTGTTCAGTTATTGATGGCCTTTTAGCCAAGTGTACAACTTGGCAGGCAGACAAGCAAATAGTCAAGGCCATAGTAAAGCTTTCCATGGATGGGTTATCGGCCGTTTCCCTTTTTCAAGTGAAAAAAGTGTCACGGCAAACTTTTGCATTCTCAAATTTATTACACAAACTTCAGTTATTGAAACTTTCGTAAGTGTTTTAGAATTCCTAACCTAAAAAAAAATAAGGCAATCACTTTAAACTTAAAGATTTAGTCTTTAAAATACTATAAGAACTAGTATTAAACATTTTAAACTGCACTGAAAATTAAGGCATCAATTTTTTCCGTGTCCTAGAACAACTATGGCATCGATGTCAACATTTCATGACCTGGTTCCATGTTCTGGGGTTCAGCGGTATTCAGCGAGATTAGTACCTCTAAGTCTTCCTGGCTAGTACCAGTATACCAATGTGGAAGGAGAATGGTACATCATTACGTCATGTGTACCATTATAACTTCATGGTCCGGTAATGCAAAGTAAGCTTTTTTTGTAATTTTTTTAATAATTTTTATATATATTTTTTTAATAGTACTGTTATAGAATTTTATATTTTTTTTTATCATTTTACTTTTAGTTTCCATATTTTTTTTGCGTTAACTTTACAGTTCCCGAACCACTGTTTGGCGACAGTTTTCCTGGTATCCACATCCTGGGGGTTAAAAGGGCAGGCGATCTGCATCTCCCGCGAAGCAGAGATCTCGGGTAGTTATCAGTAGTCAACATGCAAGAACCTTATACGGTCAAACAAGGTTCCTCAGTCTTTGACATTCTATAACCAGCAGTAGAACCGACAAGGAATGTGATCAAGAGTTATCTGCCATCATTTAATAAACGTGCGACTTTTAAATAAAAGTTTTGTTTACTTCTGTACATGCCAAAAACTTGGCATCGTGTCAAATATTTAAAATGTTTTCCCTTATCAGGAGAGGGAAGGGGAGCTACCAAATTTGTAAAAATGTTTATATATTAGCCAACAGAAAATATAGCTCCAATTAAGTGTCATCCTAGCAAACTTCTATCAATTTTTCACACCCAAACTGTACATCACCTTCTGAAGTATGGAAAACCCCCAACCCCGCGCTGGCTGCTTACCATACACAGGGGGAAGGATCCGGGGCATAGGCTGCCGTGAACTGCCAAACTCTGGTGTGAGGAGATTGTTGCAGTAGCCTGTGATGGAGCGATAGCCGTAGCTGCGACTACACGACGACTCTACTCTCCTATAGAAATTTATTATTTAAACAATTTGTTTTCATGGAAATGAAATTTGGAAAATTTCAAAAAGTTTAATGCATGTTAAAAAGCCATCACCTTCATATAATCTGGTTCAAATTAAAATTTATAAGCGTTTCAGGCTATTGTACGGACCTAGATTTATTTCTCAACCCAGTCAAGCAACAGTAGGCCCCCAATCTTGAGATTGGCACTTCTCGCTACATATAATCTACATCTTAAATTATTATTAATTTTATGTATTGGTACATTTATCTAGTATGCACTCAAAGTCGAACTTTAATAATCTTGTACAACACCAAGCTGAAGTCAACCAGCTTACCTGCATTGGTTGGGTTCTGCAATAAAGTGGCTAGGAGTCGTGTAAGGAGCCGTGCTTGGTTCTCTACCTTCGGGGTCCGCCCAGTACGGCGACACCTCCGAGTCTTGCAAGGAAGCAGGGTGACGAGACTTTTCTAAGACACGTACGATACATTAGTTTAAAGGTAGTAATTTTCGAGCCCTAAAATCCCCACTGTACACGAAGGAAACTTAAGATCGGGGCCGGTCGGCCGAGCCGACAGCACGCTAGACTTGTGAGCCTGTGGTCCTGGGTTCGATCCCAGGCGCAGAGTTTTTCACCCTATGCTCCAGTTACCTAGCAGTAAAATAGGTACCTGGGTGTTAGTCAGCTGTCACGGGCTGCTTCCTGGGGGTGGAGGCCTGGTCGAGAACCGGGCCGCGGGGACATTAAGAGCCCCGAAATCATCAAGATAACAAGAACATATAGAAGTGATCTTTTTATGAATGTTAAATTGAATTTTTTTTCCCATGGTATAATACTTACCAGATGGAAAGTGCAACTGTGGTCAGGGGGCTAGATTCACGAAGCAGTTACGCAAGCACTTATGAACCTGTCCATCTCTAATCTTTGGTGGCTTTGTTTACAATTATTAACAACCCGCCCTCTAGTCGAGGACATCCAGCCGTCGACCCCACAGACGCATTCATAAACTTACACGCTGTTCAGTCAAAACTGGAATTTTCAATATATAAATTAGTATATTTGCATATATAGGCTTACGTTAGGCGTTTAGACTGTTGGCGATTATTTGTAGTACGTGGGTGAAGCATTTATAGCGCTGTGGCTCTTAAAATTCAGTGAAGCAATTGGTGCGGAACTGTTCGAACGAAATTGAGAGTTTTGTGTAAACGGTTTCATTCATAAACGGGGTTTGGCGGGTACATGGAATCACTTGGGTCTTTGTTTGGAGGACGGGCTAATTATTAAACAGTTTATGAGCTCCGAAGCACCAGGATGCCGTTTATAACAGTTGATTGGGACGTTTTCACGCTTTAAAACTTTAATAAATGTAACTGAAGCCGTCAAAGATTGACGAATGATGTACACGTTCGTTAGTACTTAACTAACCACTTCGTGAATCTGGCCCCAGATGTCTAGACCACATTGATCCGGGGTTGGTACACTACGGTCATAATGCAGATTGTCCAGAGAGGCCGAGACAGGACAAAACATGCTCCATCATTGGGTGGCACTCGCGCCGCCACAATTTAACTACCTACCTTTTTAATACAAGAATACAATACATCATCCCCTGTTTAGGAGACTTCACTCTTAAGGTTCCCAATGTCAAGAAACTGTCTCCTTATCCTAACCTACCAGAGGACCCAAAACAGAAAACGGGACAGCATGTCAACTTCGCCAGCCACCACCATTTTCTAGCAAGAAATTTTTTAGCCTTGGGTAGAGTACTAGTCAAAATGTAACTTTACTATTAGGAGGACGGGTCGAGGGTTAAGTATGTAATCCGGAAGTAGTCTACACTTGCATAAACAGATTTGGGGAGTAAACTAAAAATTATACACCAACATTACTTTCAATCTCTGAATTGCGTACCCAGGGCGGCTAGAGATGGGCTGGAGGCTACTGGGCGAAGTACTGGTAGAGCAGTAGGAGTGTTGGGGCTATAGTACGGCCCCTCTTCAGATGACAAGAGGTAACCCCGGGGTTGAACAACGCCGCCAGAGATCTGCCTGGTGTTCCTCCGCAAGCCGTCAGTAGGTCCGACTTCGTTAACTTCTTCAATTTCGTGTTCGACTAACTTTGGTTCTTCGGGATGTATGGTGGCTGTAACTAGCTTCCTTCTGAGGATTGGAGGGACGCCCCCACACCCCGCGACCAAGGCCAATACCTGCACAAATGATTGCAATTAAAAACTTTCACTACTTGAGCAATCTAATCTGTAGAGTAAATTTTATTGCCAGAGCACCTTAAATATCGATCGCGTTGTAAAAGAAAATGTTGGTGGAAATTAATTACCAACATTCAGTACCTTTACTATAAAACAAATTTGAAAGATTCAATCTCAACTATTGTAGCTTAAATATTTAGTGTTCAATTAAGGCTTTTTTGCTCTAAAGTTATGCACAAGGTTACTAACCGAAGTCTAGAACTACTTTGCAATAATGCCCTGGCCATCATATTGCGTCTCACGTTGTAGAAAGTTAAATGCCATCTTCCACATTCAGAGATGCTGTACTAGCATTTTAGAAATTTGCTAAATTGTCGTTGGCCCAAGGGTCATCCAAGGCAACATTTTGACGCGTGCTCCATTCCGTCAGTTCACACTTTCAACATTTTAAAAGCAGACGTCCAACATACAAACTACACCAAACGTCTATTGAAGTTTCACAGTATTTTTGCTGAAAGCTAGGTCCCATAGCTTCATTAACTTAAAAAAATTTAGCATAAAAAAAGGCCACTCTTACTATACAATACAGAAAGAAAGCGATTTATGTTCAAAGTTGTTATACTGACGAACTCTACAAGTTATTCAAGGCTGGAAAGAATAAGACTACGCCCTGACAATGTGTTATACCATTCTATACCAGCTGATCAGGGCTACTGCAAAAGAAGCTCTGCTTAGACAACAAATGCCTTCACGAAAAATTTTCTTTTCCCCGAATTTATTAGGAAAGTCTGCCCAATACAGTTAAACGACATTAAATTTTATTTTCTGTGCAAGCAACTGCTCAATAAAAGTTATGCAACTTTTCTACGGGGGAAAAAAAAAAAAGTCATATCCAGGCACACGTCTTTGTCCCATTTCAGGAAACATTCCAGCGAGTATATTTACAGTAAGAAACACTACAGAAGTGACTAGTTTAACATTTAAAACTTCAGAGCTTATAGCAAAATCTTAAGGATTTAAGAACATTTAGTGAAGGCCTGCGTGTAACTACTCCGAGACAACCTAAACCTTACAGCCCCGACATATAGGCATATTAGCGCAAGCTTCACAAGGGGGGGAAATAAGGTTTTCCCTCAAGGAGGGGCCACCAGTCAACTATAGCATCCAACTTTAACTATATGTTTAACACTTCTCTAACCCTGTCCATGGAGGACAGAAGAAAATGTATATATGCTGGTTAGCATTGTAAATGTGTGGCCACGTCTGTGGTAGAAAAAAAAATCAGTGATGACTTACACCTCCAGAATTCAGGTTAAAGTCAGGCATAATTTTAGATCTGCCGTCCTTACCAAATGACGGCACTTTTCCCCAGAGGAGACTACCATAATTTTCCTAGGAAGAACATCGACAGCGATAAATGCGATGCACAGCTCTGGTACAAAGCTATTTATATAAATTGGCAAGTGGGGGGGGGGAAATAGGTCCTGCAATTAAAATAATGCGGTATTTAGGCCAAACTACTCTATTTCGTGGATTAACGGCAATCCAAGACAGTTACACCTTAAAAAAAAAAATTAAAGTGCTTCATGCAAGCGTTTAAATGCACACTTTAAATTTTGTTGACATTCACTATTCCTCTTTAAAATTTTGGTTTTAACCTCTAGTTTGTATAAATCAGATTATGTTTCCGAACGTTCGTGCTAAACTAGTTACAATAAATATAGCATTAAATAGATTAAGTTAAGCACTGCTTTAATTGGGACTAGTCAACAGCCTCTGAATTTCCAAAGTATATAAAAATACAAGAGCAATGTTATAAGTTAGCTCAAGTGAAATTTTTCCGCATGAACTCCATTTTACAAACATTCACCAACACTTATATGAACAATGTATTGTTACTTTAATTATTAAACCAACGTCATTTAGAAGTAATTACGTAAAAGGCACTTCTCGGCAATGTACAGTTCATTAGGCACTTTATTCAGTTACATGTTATCCACTAGTGAAAGTCAAGGATATAAAATATTAACATTAATTTATTTTAACATTATGAAAAGTTTTCTGATAAGGTTTTAATTTTGAAAATACCATCAAGCAACAATTACGTTTGTTTTAAGTCGTCTTAAATATGTTTTAAACTCACACGAACTCGCCAATTACTTACCATCACCAACAACATAACGTTAAACTCGTCAACAAACCGATTACAAACACAACTTAGGTCAGTTAATATCCTTCTCGAGTACTGTTTAGTGAGCAACTGCAGCTACCTGCAGCAGCAGGCATCTAAAACGGTGACGCAACCCCAAACCTTAGCGTGAACCGAAACTGCTCCATTCAACTATATGAATCAAAAGATAGTAAAATAAAGAAATGAAAGTACAAATAAATGGTATCACTAAGTGCCGTCTCTGCCACATCAACCCGTCCCGTGGTTCACTCAACAGATGGCAGCACTCCTCATCACCTCGCTTCTCAAGCTCCCGTTTTCTTTGTGAGTTTTTGTTCACAAGTTTGACAACTCATCCTCCTGTAACGATGGTATTTATAATAACTATTTGGTCGAGAGTACCAATATGTAGTGATGGTCCACCAGTAAACCACTTTTTGTATTATTAATTTTAAAGATTCAGGAAAAAAATAAGTTAAAAAGCTATAATATTAGGCCAAGTATAGAATATATATTATATATGTGTATATATATATATATACTTTGGATTATATAGGATTATATATACTTTATTTAAATAAAAGCAGATCAACCGGAGCTCATGCGTGCCGCAAACAATGACTATTATTTATTAATACTAATTCAAGTTTGGTGTTGGGTTTAAGGCCTAACAACCACTTGAGTGTTATTAAGGCTACTATAAGAGTTTACTAGCAACCTGAAAGTATACTTTGGTTCTGAATATCATTCAGCACATGATTGGTATGAAGTCCACTACCCCTTACAGGATTGGAATGGGAGGGGTGCATAATAAATTGATTATATAAACAAATTGAACATATTATTATGTTTAGTGACCGTCGAGGTACGTATAGTACATACAAATATCCCGGACCACATATTATCAAGTCAGAAGATGAACTACAACATTAATCTTCATACGAAATGCTAAATGTTTTACAAATTTAAACCACAACTGGGTAGATCTACAACAGACGCTACACGTGGCGACATCTCTCAGCTGAAATTCGACAATCAGAATTTCCGTTCTGGGTGCTGCTTGTCCCTGGTGAAGGTGGCGGGGAAGATATGGTGACGGATGGTAGTGGCGGCCAAACATTAGTGGTGTGTTTTGCTTCCTCTAAGTGGGTGTGTTCAGCCCCGTCGCTCTCTAAACTCTCGCCATGATCCTCTCTCTGGCTGTGGTTAGTGTTATTGTGAATGTTTGTCGTCCTAATGGGTCATTGGGTCTCCACTTCTGTATTACTCTGCGTTAGGGATTTGTAAAAGTTCTAGATGTCCAAATTTGGCGCCTTCTTTTGAGAATTACTTGCTAGACGTTCAAATTTGATTATCCGCTCTTAGTAACTTCGTGGATTTGTTCGTACAAGCTTATACTTTTAAGGTGTTAGAGAAATAGACAACATCGCCTAAAATGTTTTGCTTACAATGTTATTGATAGTTTGTATGTGGTTATTATTTGGTATTTAAGGATTTTTATATTTTAATGTTACCAAATAACATTTTGTAGACTTCCAGTTATTAGATACACAACATTTGAAGAATTGCTACGGATTGGAAACCTTATTGTGTACTACAGGTATTGTGTGTGGGTGTTGGAATCAATGTGGCTCTAATACCAGTACTGGAGACTCCTGTCTCTGACCCCAAGGGTCTCGCCCGGCCAGTGCTCTACACAGGTGGGTCAAATCTCTTTTAATAGATTTCCTAAATCTCGCTTGCAATATATTAAGCCTTTAAGACCAAAATTTTATCGGCTAACCTGTTTTGTCTTTTTGATGTAACGGTAACATTGGTAAAATATTAAGCCCTGAAAATGGTCTAGGATGGCCCTAAACGTCTAAGGTTCTTTTTGCTTGGATTTGAATAATTAAAATTGGTATAAGAAATGCCACTAATTAATCGGTCTTTTACCGACTACTCTGTAAATATAACTGAAAGATCCGTTCTTAAATCACCTGGTTTTTAGCCTGACCATACAAAGTCTTGTTTTAGTAGGTCCATCATGAGCACACATCTTGAGGAAAAAGATATCAATGTTCAGAATAAAGAAAATGTTATACGGGAGTTCATAAATACAAAATCAATTCGAAGCTTGTCTTGCCTAGTTTGGCTTCAATTTGAGTTAAAATTTTGGCACTGTACAATAGAATTTAAAATTTCCATCCACTATAAACTTGACACCAACTTGTCTTAAAACCATTGATCAGATAAAACCATTGGTCCAGAGTTAGAATTTGCCTACTGGCAGTTTCGGTGGAGTGTAGGTTAGTGAAGGATGGATTTGGTCGCTTCTCTAAAAGTTCAACTTGCGCATATTTAACAAATTGCATTTATTGTATGTAGATTTGCCGTCGTATAGAAAGACGCATTGGCAGGAATTGCATGGCTTTCCTAACGTATTTTCAGGAAAGCTGAACTCTTCAGTATCTCCATATTGGGCAGATCCGGAAGACCTACCTATCAACCTACCACCCACCCTGTGTGCTGCCAACCTCACTCTACCTCCAAAGAAATGCATGTAAAGTCAAAGCACTCGACCTGCTTATAATTTTTCTTAGTTTTGTAAATAGTTTTATTTTTTGTAAGTTGGATTATAGTATCCAGTTTTCGTAAAGAAAAAAAACCTTTAGCAGTTTTTAAATGTTTTAATGAAAAATAACCTTAAAATTATAAGTTTAGGTAGCAGAGCTATAAATTAATCTAATGGTTCTCGGCCATCTGAGATTTTACTTTAAAATCTTTCATAATAAAAATTATGATTGGGATAAATGATTAAATGAAGTGTTTAAAAGATCTGCTTGAGAATTAAATTTACGTACAAATGCGCAAAGATTTGTTCGGATATTTTTATAGAAATATTAAATGTATTCTTTTTTGTTGTAACTAAATGAAGTACTTTCCACTTAAAATGCCGCACAGTCAAGTCCGGAAAAAGTCAGCTCGGCCACTTGTAGGCGAATATAATTTTTTGGTTCTGTAATCATATTTTTGTGTATTGGAAATTAATTTGTTAGGTCTTCAATGAGCATAATTCTCGTGTGATCAGGAAGGTGTTTGGGCCGTGTGACAAGCAGGCAAAGTACAGAAGCGTGTCTGGCCGATGTAACAATCTCCAGCACCCAGAGTATGGCACGAGCGGTCAGTTCCTGCTCCGTCTGCTACCTTCTGCCTATAGTGAGTATCTGATATAGCGCTGATGGGACGAGCCAGGCGTCGAGGGGGCGGCCGTGGATCCGGAAAGTTGGGAGGATGATAGCCACCACAAGCTCGTCAGCGGGTGTTTGGAATACTGGAATCTAAGCATCCGCCCAGTGTGGATGGTTTTTTGGGTCTTGAGTGGGTACCGGGGTAAAGGAGAGGGACTCTGTCGTAGGGAAATGCTATATGCCGTTGTATTCCCTAGAGGAGGAGAAAGGATGAAGTAGGGAAGTGCTGCTTGGAGTGAGGTATCGTTCGGAAGATGGCTTGGAACCCCCTTAGCTGCCCTGGTAGTTGTATCCCTTAGCTTCTGACACGCCCCCTTTTTCTAATTATGGTACACGCTTTCATCTCTAAGGTTATGGGCAACCAGGACCACGAGTCTTATGTTTTAGAATATTTGGTCTGGAAGAGACGGGGGAATGGTACGTGCTTTGTCAAAGTCGGAGGCATGTTTGAGGGAAGTCAATAGTATGTCCCGTTTTATCATTACAGTATTATCTGACCATAGTGATGCTTGTATATTTGAAAGGTCCCCAGACACTCTTGCCCAAGATCACATTCACCCCAAAAATCTACAAATTACTGGCTATTTATGTCCATGCCACCTCTTGGGTTTCTTAATTTTCATAGATCACGGTTGGCAAGCATTTGTAGTATAAACGAGCAAAGGCTGGCCATGGCTAGTCCTCTTTGAGGGGCTACCGGCTGAGTTTAATTAAGATAAATTGCAGATCTTATTGCATGCAACAGAGCCGTAATTACCCTTTTTATATAAAAAGTAATGCCGCAAGAAACCACATTAACGTACCTTGCTCCCTTGTTCATGACTCCTCAATGCTCGGTGATTTTCTAGTTTGAGTAATGGTCTCTACGTTTTGTGCAAAGTAGTATAGTGAGGGAAATATATGGGAGAATAGTGGTGTGTGTGTGTGTGTGTGTGTGTGTGTGTGTGTGTGAGAGAGATGAAATGTGACCAAAAGTTGGTTCTGTTGTGGAAACGTGCACGATTCGGATATTTCAAGAATACATTGTAGCCTTCAACAAATTTAAAACGCCTACGATAATGAAGAGGAGGAGGAAGAGTGGACTGGAGGACCACAGTATAGTCTGATTTGTGGAATATTAAATGCGGTGGAAAGTTTTACTCTAAAACACACTTAAAACAACTCTTGTCATTTTGCACGTCAGTTTGTCATAAGAAATTATAGCATTTAAAAGGAATGTTTTTTTATTCGTATAATTTTTTCTCCCATATCTTGGCAACATGGAGACGGTGAGGTGATGAGGTTGATGTCTGTATCAGGCCGCCTCCTACCCAACCCTCGAGCGGTGAGTCTGTTGACACGCGGCGTGGCGCTGCCCTCAGCCTCGCTACACAACCTTCTCCACATGCAGATGGGTCAGTTCATCGACCATGATTACTCCATCACTACTGTCGTCAGAGGTGAGGTTACTTGGCCTGGCCGGTGTGGCAGACTTTATTTTGTTTGTAATACAGCCTCTGTTTTCTGTATATACATCGCTTGTATGGTCATATTAAGGCTCGTCTGTTGTGTTAAGGAATGAATGTATCCAATTTATTTGCATGATGTATTAACTGCTCACGGATTGTAGTGTTTGTAATCGCAGATAGTTGTAGGTAAATTTACTAAATGTGAAAGTATTCTATAAACTTTTCTTACTAGATCTGTTCATAACGGAACTATTGACCGTACAACCAATGGCAGTTTACTTCCAGTGCTCTACATCTGTACCACATTGGACTCTAAATATAGCAGAAATGTCTACCTTACAAGCTACAGTATTTGTCCACATTAATGATGCAGAACTCGCACAGGTTGTCATTGTAATTTTATTTTGCGCACATTGCTTGAGCAATTTTCTTTTGAAAGGTGCAATGAGCGTTTGCAATAGCTTAATTGCACAAAAGGCCAAATGGTTAAATTCTAGGGCCAAATATACCGGTCTTAGTGCTAATTCTACCCTTGATGGCTATATACAACGTTGGGAATGTCCTCGGAAGTCTTAAAACTAGTCTTACTAGTTATAGGGGCGCTTCCACGGCGGTTGGACACTGTAAGAGGATCGTCCGCATTGCTGATCAGCTGCAGTAAGATTGTCTATACAAGGTATCTTGTCCTATCGCCTTGTGAACCCGATCACTTGCTTAGCACTCTTACGGCTGGGAAAAAGTATCTTAAGCATTGCTCATCCAAAATTTCTAGGCGACTTGTATCCATCTCTGAAATTAGAAAACTTCTTTATAATTGTAATTCTGTGATTTACAAAGCTATATAGCAATTCCCTTCAAATTGCTATATAGCCTTAATGGCTTGGCGCTTTTTACCTGATAATTCCCTCAGATGGTTCTAACCGGACGAAGGCTTTAGCTAAGGGGCCGAGCGTCCCCTCTCCATGACGTATAGTGACTCTACAGCAAGTGATGTCCACCATACAGTCCTGGTCGATCTGTGGCACGTGACTTAATCTCCAATTGGTCGCAGGGTCAAGATGTGAAACGCTGTTGGCGTGAGAGCTCTTACGCGCCATCTTGTATGTACAAAATAATGTAGCCTTGTAATGCTAGCAAGCGGATTTCGTACATTGTTTGGCTCCCCCCTCACCCCCCCCACTGTATCTAGGAACGACGGGCCGAAAACTCGTTAATTTTTGTTTTTGGGTTTATTATATATTGTAACTTGGTTTGTTCTTCCTGCATTGGTAACGGGTCAGTGTGACGCAACAGGTGGTATGACAAACTGCACATCCTAATATGACCTGAACGTATAATGGCTCAATTAAAATGGTTAGTCATTATGAATTGGCAACGCGTCCTAAAGTCAATTCCATCCAGCGGTCGAATCCACACTCGTTCATAAATTTTTAAATGCTATTCATTTAAAACGGGAATGTTCTCGAATATAAATTATATTAGCATATTTTGCATATATATATAGGCATAGGTCGGGTGTTTAGCTTCTGTTGGCGATTATTTGTATTGTAGTTCGTGGGTGAAGCATTTACAGCGTTGTGGTTCGAACACGATTCATAAGTCAAGCACTTGTTCCAGAAGTGTCCGAACGAAATCAGTAGTAGTGTGTAAACCGTTTTTCATTCATAAACGTTTTTTTTTCTGGTGCATGAAATGGACTTGGGTCTTTGTTCGGAGGACGGGCTGTGACTTGGGTTAATAGTACCTGACGCCTAACGGGACATTGAATCATTGCAGACCATGGCAAGATGATGAAATGTTTAGAGTGCACGAGCTGGACGGACCCGAGGTGCACTCCTGTGCCCTTGCCCAAGGACGACCCTTACATACCGGCTCATATTAACAACACGGACAAGCGAAGATGTCTTCCCGTCACCAGGTAGTACCGTTAGTTTTGTTCCTTGCAGCGTTGGTCGATAAGTCTTCAGAAAGTTGTTTTGACCTTTTTGGTAGCGAATTTGCTTGCAGCGTTAGTGTCGAATTCCAGCTCCATTCTTTTCAGTCATTTGACCGTTACCATTCGGCTCGTTGTGTAGATGAGGCATTCATAGTTACTGAAAGTAGTGAAAGAACATAAAGGTCATGTGGCCTATTGACTTGTACAAAGAATCTATTTATATCTACCTTAATTCATTCAAGTCTAATTTGAGCTTGAAACGATCAAAGGATTGTCTTCTGGAATTAGAGTTTCTAAACCCGTAGCTATACGTAGTTTTAATTTTCCTTATTGTCTTTGCCAGCCATTATAACACCTTTTTGCATAATGGAATAGTTTAACTTCACTACAAATTTATTGGCTTGGTTTACTCCTTGTATAGGTATGCATACGTCAGTTATATTAACGTTACCCATGTATATCGGAGTTAAATTTTCAGGAGCGTTGCAAAGATGTGGGTGAACGAGATGGGCGCCCCGGAGCTTGAGCAGTACAACATGAACACTGCTTATCTTGATCTTTCCCAAGTACGTTGCAAGTTGAACTGATGCATTGAGCTCTTGTAGAAATGTTAAAATGGTCATTATCTTTGAACACCAGGAAGTCTTGCAATAGTTTTGCTTGCTCTTTAATGTTGATTTCCCTGAATGTGTTGGCTAATTATAAGGTGGGAGTTGCAGAGGCGTGTTGAAGTGAATCACTCCTGCTTACGATAGGTAGACTTACAGCTTTTGCTCCCATACAGGCATCCTGAGGGATACCTGTATCGAGGCACTTTTGAATCTGAAATGTATTATTATATATCCCTACTTGGGTAATGCTTGTTTTAGATTCAAAAAGCCCTGGTAGAGCCAAAGTCCGGGCTACCAAAAACTGCAATCTCTGCATATTGAAAGCTAAAAGTGTTAGAGCGGGTACATTAAGAGAAGGTATTGATCTAGAATGTTAAAGTTTGGATACTCATTGAGCAAGTAGCAGGAAAGGTATTTGTATGGATAAAGTGCTAAGCCAGTATGACTATATAGTACTTGCAAGGTATTGGAGGATAAGGACCTGTGATGAGCTAGTACAATGTAGCATTACGGCGCCCAACCACTGGGACCATTGGGTATTGAATGCCAGCCTTGCTAGAAGACGTTGTTCCGATAAAGTAGAGGACTAGCTGGCATCATGAAAGCCCCTCACACTAACAGCGGTCGTCTTGGTGGTGATCTCGCTGAACACACCGTTGTCGCCCATAAAATTCCCGCTCTATTGAGAAATGGAAACATACATTGGTCACAACTGGCGGCTCCTAGTTAAATAAAATTGTGAACTAAAATGTGCAGTACTAGTACAGTATACTGAATTTCCCATTAATGGAAGTTGAATTATAGTCGACGGTAAACCATGTTTTACAGAACTTTTGTCCCTTTCTGGTCTACTGTAGCATTAACTTTCAGGTGTACGGTAATAACGAGTGTAGAGGAGAGGAGCTCAGGTATAACATTGGAGGTCTGCTCAACACCACTCTGACCGGCATACCCACACAGAGGCCAGCATCTCATTTTCCTGACTGTCGGGACTACTCCGGCTGGTGCTTCTTCTCGGGTGACGACAGGTCAGTGCTTGTGATAGTCTTAATAAAGGTAGGAGTAAACATGTTCGTACTGCAGTGAAGCGCTTATTCAGGAGTGCAAGTCGTTCACAGGTTGCAGGTTCTTCACCATATTGATGGGATCATGACTCGTCATACTAATGAAGGTGTCGGCTTGATGCGTGAAGGTGTTCTCGAATGCGAGGTGTCCTGGTGATGTATTTCCTGAAGCAGAGAATTCAATAAAACGGTAAGCTGGTTGGTTGTGTATGAACGTGGCCCAGGTGTTGTAGTCGTGATAAAGTAAACTACAAAATACAAGATTGGCGAGCAGTTTAAATTACCTGGAATGTGTGACTATAGTATTTTGTCACAGGGCTGCTCTGAGATCGTTGCACAGGTATTTTTCTACCAAATCCAGCCGGAGGGTTACAAGGTGGTGACTTTAGTGGCCTCGTGTACATGGTGGCGCGCACTGGTGCGACAGGGACTTCTAGACTAGCACCAGTGAAGCTGGAGAGGAGGGTTAAAATAATGTTAGTAACTAGTGTAACAGGTTGAGGGTGGGTATGTGTAAATAGGTGGAGTGAAGACGCTTCTACAGTCATTTGCCCTTCAGAACAACATGTTTGGGTCGGGTAAGTGCTGCCGTCTGACTGCGACAGATGTGGAGTCACCCTTGAGCGGAGGGAGATTTTAGTGTTCAGAAATATGGTAATGTTAAGACTGGCACTATAGAGTACCATAGTGATTAATGGAAAGTATGTCGGAGTGTCTTTTCAATAATTTTAATTTGACTGCAGAAATTTAACTGCGGAAGGCTTAATAGTCTAGTCGAGGCGGCTGCTATTTATACCCACCCCAAACTTGTTCATATATGCCTGAACAACACTTAACACAATCTAGCTACTCCACGTCTGTTTCCCGGTAAGTTCCATAAATTATTTAATTTCAAAGCAAATTTACTCTTCCTTGAAGTATTAAAAATATCCAATGCAACAATAATTTGTTATATCTGTACGTCCCTTCCTATACTCAACGTTACTATATACTACTTACTCTTAGAGTATAAATTAAGCTTGTAATTGTATGCAATTAGTTGTTACCAAAGGGGGTGACTTTCTCGTACATCTGGAATTGTTATGGTGCTCGCCCCTTAATGAACTCTTATGACTTTGCAGAGCGAACGAGAACATGGGACTGACGGTGCTGCACTTCGTCTTTCACAGAGAACATAACCGCCTGGCCAGAGCTCTACGCATTATCAATCCTCACTGGGACGATGAGAAGCTTTATCAGGTAGTGACTGTGAGTGTGTGTGTGCGAGGCGGGTGGGTGGGTGGGTACAGCTACGTTGTACACGGGAGGCTTGCCTTTCTCTTTAGTATGAACTTGTATGGTAATTTGTTTCCCCCTTTGTTATTGAACATTAGTTTACCGATTCAGCTTTACTATAAATGCTCTTGCTGTAGTAAACATTCATTGGGAAGATATTGATACGGTAAGATATTACAGGCTTTTAAAAGTTTATTGCCTTTGCAATGATATCAAAAGATGCAGATATAAGATTGTTTGTGAAACGTACAGTTGAGAATGACGGTAACAAGAGCTCCCACTGGCTGTTATAAATCTAGTCAGATTCGCCAGATATATGAAGCTCTTGCTTGGCCTATGATGATTACCTACAAGAATAAATAAACTTGTAAATCTAATTCCAGCTCTAGCCCAGTGAGCACCAGTCAATAGGAGGGAGGGAGGGGGGGGGAAGGAGGAAACGCCCCACCTCCATTTAAAACCGTGATCCAAATATCAGAGTAACAAAGTTATCGCGAATAACCGAACTCTATTACGGACTCGCCATAGCCCGTGCTACATGGACATTTCGTTCTGAGTAGCTAAATCTAAAACTGCAGATGTTGACCATTTTCATACAGGATTGTTCTTTCGCAAAGGGTCGAGATGCAGTAGTGTTGGTGTGGATGATAGTGTGGAGGTGGTTGTTAGCAGGGTGCATTGTGGTAAATGTGAAGAATTCAAGGGTGTCATTTTTAACCATTTCCTGTAATGTTCATTTTTCTTGGGTCAAGTGCTTATCACCACTTGCTATTAAGTTGGCAAGCCAATAATGAACAATTTGTAAATAACCTTTTACATTGGATAGGTTTTGCTTTAATTACTTTGCCTCGCAATGTTGTACAATTAATAGTTTAAGATACACAATCCATCTTTACACTCGAGTGAGACTGGGAGGTATTGTTGCAGGAGGCGCGAGCCATCAACATCGCCCAGTACCAGCACTCGGTGTACAGTCAGTACCTGCCTGCCGTTATTGGCTACCCCACAGCTACTAGACTCCAACTTCTCCCACAGCAGGATGGGTATTATCTGGTATGTGGTCACTTCAGTATTTGTATAAATTTAGATTTGGATAAGTTATGATTTCTTGGGGTAGTGGATCACCCGCCTATTACAGATGTCATTTTTTGTTAATCTTTCGATGCTATTCAGAATAACTTTTAAAGTTTTGCTAATGTCTTGTATGCCTCAATTTTTGTTCCTGCTTGTCATAATTTAGTCATTTTGGTTTATTATTCGGCTAATTACTACCTTGTGAATGGTGGCGGAAAGGATAAAACTTTCTCTCCTTCTCAACTGTCTTCTGCCTTGCATTCAGTCCTCCGCTTAATGAGCTTTCCTTGTATCGGTCTTTAAGACTCGCTTAAGAGGTGAATTTTAGTAGTGGGTGGTGGGGGGGGGGAAAGAGGCTTTAGCCCAAAATGCAGGTACAAATTATTAAAGTAGGCAACTGGAGTGCAATTTTTTGTGAAATCTGGTATTGTTGTAGTTTGTGTATAATAGCTGGGCACAGCACTGCAACTGTTGCTTATTTGGCTTGTGTGTTACACCAGGAAGAGTTTCATTTTAAAGTTTTCCTTCGAACTTTACTCATTCGAACGAGAGAGACCTCAAAATAAACGAACTCGCCATTAAACCAGTGTCCATACTTGCTAATGGGATTTAAGATGATCTGGTCATAGTTTCTAGTATTTTATAAGAGGAAACGTCTGTGTAAACTTGACAATTGCTTCAGGGTTATGATGAAGAGAGGAATCCGGAGGTCTACAATAGCTTCTCAACGGCAGCCTTCAGGTTTGGTCACTCCTCAATCTCTGACACACTGCCTCTTCTGGACGACCACTATCACTTAGTCTCCAGTATACCTCTAGTAGACACCTTCCAAAATACTTCCCTTCTACTGACGGTGAGTATTCTATTATTGATATAAATATCAATAATAAAAGTATTATATTGGGCTTCTAGTTATGGTTGTATATATATATATATATATACATTTCATTAATTTGTAATTGAATACGCTTGGAAGTGCACTTTTGAACGTGGGTTTTTGTAGAATTGCCACAAGTTATTCGGCTCTTGTTCACTCTACAATCTCTTCAGAAAGGAAGCTCACTTTTAATGCTTATATGTAACGAAGATTGTTAATGCTCCATTGACACTCCAAAATGACTTTCCCCAACAGTTTAATCTACTACATAAGAAGATCCTTTTAACATTAGCTTCGTGCAAAATTTCTTTTATTTTGACATGTGGAGAGTTCAGTGTGACATGCATCACATATTCTACTGTACTTCAGGCTGGCGTGTGGGAGTCGGTGGTGCGTGGCATGCTGGGCTACAACATGAAGCCAATAGACTTGCACCTCGAGGACAGCGTCTCGAATCAACTCTTCAAGTTTGTGACTGATGAATTTTCGGGCCAGGATCTTGCTGCCTTAAATATTGCAAGAGGTGTGTTTTTTTTTTTTTCTAATACCCATTAGACTTCCACTTGCTGTTTGTGAATTAATTCGTAGGTGATACGAAACTTTTTCACAAGTTTTTTACGTGTTTTTACAATGCCAGTAAATGTTTGAGAAGTGACTGGAGCACAAACATATTAACTACACACGGATATTTTGTTTAAATAAACAAAATTATAAATGCTGCATTATGTTTGAGTAGACTAGAGTTGTCAAGATTACATCCCTGGAATTTATTTTCAGACTGATATTGTGTCATTGTTTGCCGAGACACGCCATCACTCGAAACCTTTACGCAAAGTCTATAATAATTTCAGTCTCCAGATTGGATTAGATTTTTTCATCAGATATCGGTAGCAAAAAAAGCTCTCGATTGGAAGGAGTCTTGAGAAATAACTTGTATATTTAAAAATGGGAAGATTAATGTAAAATTTGAAACTAAATTCCAGGTAGAGACCACGGACTTCCTTCATACAGTACATACCTGACTTACTGTGGGCTGGGCAGCGTCGACAGCTTCGAGGAACTGATGCCTCTAATGTCGACCTCAGCCGTCGATGCGCTGCGCAAGGCCTACGCCTCCGTCCACGACATCGACCTCTTTATTGGAGGGCTGGTATATCTTAATTAATTTTTCTTATCGACGGGAAACTCTTTAATCCAATGTTTTGAGAACGTGCATTGAATAGAGTAGAAATGGTTCCAGAATAAAGTGGAGAGTTGTGCTGCTCCGTTTAGTAAATAAATGTATTAAACCATTACTGTTCTGACGTAACTAATTTTACCCATATAATCTCCAGACTGTTTAACTGCTGGATTGGGTGGTTCTTGCAGACGATGTTGCCAATGCAGTCTCTCTTCTACTTCTATACATCCTCAGTATTAATGCCGTTCTAAAACTTGTTTATTTTTACAATATATCCAAATGCACTGCCAATATCCAATGCACTTCGACTTCGATCCAAATGCACTACCACTGAGTGGCACTGGATTTATATAATCCAAAAACTCGGATTATACTTATGGCTCATAATACATTAACTAGAGTAACCGTTCCAGGCAGAACATCATGTCTCCGGTGGTATTGTGGGACCAACGTTCGCTTGCATCATCTCTCGCCAGTTTATTAGAACAAAGAATAGTGACAGATTTTGGTAAGATGGCAGTCTTTTGTTTTCAGATGTCTTTAATTTTAAATGTAGATAATTAACCCATAAGTTCAGGTTATGCTGTCCTATTGTCATGTTGCAAGACTTGATTATAAGTGTTCTTAAGGTCTTCTTAAGGGCCTTTAAATTCCTAAGTTTGAATGAGTGGGCTTGATAGCATTAATCCAGTAACAATTTTTTTTTTATTTTAGGGTTAGTCTAGTCCGCCATGTATTGGTGAATTTTATTTTGCACTGTTGCAGACTTTACGTAGAATATAGATTTAACTTTGTCTCAAAGTTAATGGCAATTGGTTTGCATTTTGCCCTGCAAGGTGTTTGGTATTGCTATTTTGTACTAGAGCATTTATTAAAGTTAACTCTATTTCAGGTATGAGGCTCGCGGCTCAGGCTTCACACTGAAGCAGATTCAGAGCATAAAGACGGTCACACTTGCCAGCATCATCTGTAACAACTTCGATGAGGTCGAACAAGAGGTGCCGCTAAATGCTTACTACCAGCCCCTCGAAACAATGTTAGTGGTGATGGAAAGGGTAGAACAGGCTTGTACGGAATCACTTTTGTAACTTGAGGCAATTTACATAGACAAATTACATTTATTTGGACATTTAAATTCGACTTGTTTTACATTTAATGTCACTACTTTAGCGAAGTGCTTTCTCGTCAAACTTTCCGCTAAATTAGGAGTTGAGGAAAATGTAATTTCGTTAGTGCTATAATGATGTACTGTGGTTAGGTCTTTGGCCGCAACATTAGTCTGATAAGACGGGGGGGGGGGGGGGGGGAGTTGGCTCTTCTTTTCTTATGCTGAAGAGCAAGCATAAGACAAAGGATTGGCGGTAACAAAGTGTCGTTATTAGTGAAAGTATCAGTGATGCGGGACAAAGAGCAACCAAAACAAAGTAGAACCGCAAGAAACTCCAAGCACGCAGGAAAGGGCAAACAGCGTGTTAGACAAACAAGGCAGACAATGGCCTACAGCCAATTGACATAAGGAGGGGAAACCCAGCTTGTAATCCAGCGTCTAGACAGGATCTCGCCTGGAAGCTATACTGAACTGGTTTTCTGACCAGCATCGAGCGGATGTCTTGTTTTCCGACCGTCCCCCGCGGTCGCTTGTCCCTCGATAGTATTCTTGGTGACTGATACTTTTGATATCGTTCGCTTTATGCGTTTTTGTTCTCGTATTGGCATCCTTGGTGATATTTAGCGCCCTCTGCTTATTCCGTACATTTGATGGTGCTACATAGCCTTCCCGATTTGGTGCCTTTTGATAATTACTGACTTAGTTCTGACCAGCAAATTTGCCCCGGGACAGAAGGTAATCTTGCATCATCGCCTGGTACTCTATTGGGACTAGGACGGGTCCCATGAGGACCATAAGTACCCCTCGTCCTAAATTAGTATTTTATCAACTACCTTTTTAACTCGGTTATGAAATTTTAAATTTTTATATAATATACAAGATGGCTGTTTAGCGCTTAATTCTGGTGGTAACATTATTTAAATAAAGTTCAACACGTTTAGCTAAAGACATCTTGAGGACGTGAACTGTAATTGTGCAGCCAAAGGTTCAATACTTGAGACTGCAGATTTTTATAGTTGAGACTCTAAACTTTCCTTAAAGTTTAATCTACCATAATTTTGCCAGAAGGTAGTGTTGACATATTAAGTGTGAATGTTCGCCAGTAAGGTCTCTTGACTTGATAGATGAAATAAAATAAAACCCATCCTCCAGAAATGATAGAACTCTGCCAAGTGGTACAAAATACTAATAGTGGACCACCAGTAAACCACTTTGTATTTCCCACACTATAAAATTAAAAGTAAACTTAAATATTCCTAGGCGAAGTACAAAGCATACATGTAATATTTGACATAGGATTGCTAGGAGAGGTTAGGTTGTCTTCTATTTATTTAGTTTAAAAGTTTGTCAAAATTCAGGAATAAGTGTCTACTTTCTGGTGGCTCATCACTTCATTTTGGTACTTTCGGCTAAATAGTTACTAAAAGTACTTTCACTTTAGGAGGATGGGCTACCCAAATTCCTTGCTTTGGTCCTCTACATATGATTTATCCTTTGGTAAAAGTTTTAATGTGGTGAATGAATATTTTTAATACTTAATGCCTGTCTGAAAGTTCCTATTTAGTTAAGTATGAACAAGGCAGCATTATTAGTTTTCCGATAGCTTTTCAGTATTTGTCATTATTGCATGAAGATATTTATCTTCAGGGAAATCTTGCTTCCCCACCCGTCCCTCGCGGCCACCCGTCCTTCCACGGAGTCCTTGGAATCGGATATCTTTGATGTCATCGCTTGCCTTGTGGGCTTTTCTCTTATTGGCATCCTCGTTGATATTTAGCGCATTTTGATTGTCCTGCGACTTTGATGGTGCTACATCTCCCCAGCTTGGTGCCTTCTTTCGATAATTGCTTGCTTACCACTTCTTAATTTGTACAGCTGGTTTAAATATTTCTCTTCCTTGTTCTTGGTGCTGATTGAATTGTGAACTTCACAGCAACCCTATGCGTGCCTGCAGCAGCCTGCCGTCGGTAAACCTGAGCTTGTGGGAGGATCATCCTGCTGTAGAGTTGAGGTCTTGTACAGAGGAATGGTGTTCTCCAACTACTGTGGCCTCGTCTTCAGTGTCTTCTAGCAGCCTGGTGGCCAGGTAAGTATACAAGAAATGGTTTCTGGGTACACGTTGTCTAGACTCTGAATGATGGCGTCTGGACTCTATTCCTGATTAGAGGTTAAATTCCCTGTAGACTTGATATAAAATATAAAGGTTCCACTTAAACTAGTCTCTTAGCATTATCTTGCATGGCTATACAGCAACCTGGGCCAAAGTTTCTTTTGAAACTATAAAATTAGTTTTTCTTCTGACCTTTTTTGTACAAAAGTTTCTGGCTGCTCTTAATGCCTCGGTTTATGAAGGTATCTTTACCCCCCGCCCCCCCCCCCTCCCTTTCCTTAACGCCTGTAGCGTAACGCGATCTTCACTATCTGCAGCCACAACTTTTTTTTTTTTTTTTTTTTTTGTCCGTTTGCCCCCACTGGGCCCTTCTGGCTCTAAATATTGACTGGTCGCAGTTGTCCTGTTTGACGAGTGATTAGTGCATGTATCTGTGTCGAATAGACGTCTCGTATTAGGATCTAGTTGCAACAGGTAAGCGTTAAATTCCTTGATATAGAAGTTTTTAAATCTGATGATTTTCTAATTTAAACTTTTTTTTTTAATTTTTCCTCAGATAAAAAGCGTTCCATATGAGCGTCAGAGGTAGTTGCAACTTTTACTGCAACCTGGGGGACGACGAAGTTAACGAGACTCTTCTCAGAGGCTGAAGGAGCTCTTTGGACTCGTCCGTCTAGACCACCACCACCCAGTTCCCGAGGCTGGAGGAGCACTACCATGGCTCCAGAGCAGCAGCACCATCACTACCACAGTTCCCGAGGCTGGAGCACCACCACAGTCGGCTGTAATCGACAAAAAGGATGCCGAACAGAAGTGCTGACATGTACATAAATATTTTTATATTTTAGTGTAAATATTGATAATGCAATAAAACCTGGACACGGTAATAATTCTTTACTTTCTTTACTTTCGGGAAATTCGGATTGCTGACATTAGTTTACCGATGTTGACGAGTTGGACTTTGAGGTTGAAACTGAAATTAATTTTAAGGTCGAACCTAAACTGAATGGCTTGTACATTTATATCTAATTGCTTAAATTGACACGGTACAAAATTGGAATGCTTGTCGACCAGCGGAAAATGTTAGTGTCTGCTTTCTGCATTAGGTATAAATCTCTCTAAAATGCACAATGTAATATTTTTTCAAAGATCAAATCTTCAAATTAAGAAATCTGAAAATGTGTAGTGCTCGCAATTTGTATTGAATGACAAATGGTTATTCACTTAATTATTTTGTCTGAAATAAATCTAAGCGTACAAGATCAAACCTGAAGGTTTCGGGTCTCTAGCCATAACTTAAGTTCTAAAGAATTGTATGATTAAGTTTGAAGTCTGCGCTTATTTAAGACATGAGAGGTCGTTTGATCTGGCTGTTAAGGGCCAGGTTAACCACTGCGCGCACTTGGTGAACCATTACCTTGGTCTTCCTCCTACCACTAATAGAATGGAGAGGAACGGCTTTGGTTAGGTTGTATGCATATTGGCCCCACACTCTTAACGTGTTGGCACGTTGAACTCGTTCTCGCACTTGCTTAGTCAATATTGGCTTATTTAATAAGTGCATATGTGACATACTAATTGTGAATATTTTAGTTTACCTTGAAAAGCTTCATAGAAAACACCGACCTCACCTAACCTTCTTGGTATGTTAAGATAAGCATCTTATTGCTTAATTACAATTATTACTTAACATATACCGTAGGCGTACCATTATCAGTACTGCATTGTCCCACTTAATCATGCACCTTCTTGTAGAATGTCTATGAACATTTCCACCTAGATAACCGAATCACCAAGGAGGCTATCTTGGGTTTTCCTCGCCTTTTCTCGTATTGGCATGCTAAGTAATGTTAAACATTGAATATCCAACAAGAGTAGAAGGCTTGGCGGCACCTTATGATACTTGAGAGAAGGGAACTATCGGTAGAAAGCGTAAAGCCATTAAGACTATATAACACTAGGAAAGGGTCAGGATAAGGATTTGGAATGGCACAGGGAAAGGAATGGTGCCCAACCACTTGGACAATCGTGGATTGAACGCCGACTTGCATGGAGAGACCGTCGATCTACCGTCCACCCAAAGTGCTTGGCCGATACTTGAGAGAGTGGGAGCAAAGTGTGGCTGACCATGTTTACAGGGAATCTAAAGCACAAAGGCTGCCAAGCAATCGTCCTCCATGGACAGTAACAAGTGTCGCGGGAGACTTAAGCTGCTGCTACAGTTACGGAGGGTTGTGTAAATTATTTCATTCATGAATGCAGATTGGCGGCTGAATTGACGAGCATTTGGCCGTTGATGCAACCCACACAGACGGGTCTAATGACTGGACATTGAATGGGGAATGTTGGAGATAATGATCCATTTCTTGCCCACATAATTTACCCATGAAGTGTTCAGGATTGGGAGATTAGTCACCTCTAGCCACCTGCCACAGGCAACGAACGGTAGCCCAACCTGATCCTGGCAATTTGTGTTGCACTGACTGGTGGACGTTTTGTGCAGGAGTGGCCAGAAGTAACCAACATTGCCTGTGTAACATTGTTAACTAGCCACTTCTGGTGTGACAAGAAGAAATGCCTGTGTAAGAGGCTGATCGATAATAGTGTAGCATCGATTAACAAAAGACTGATTTAGTGTGAAGTATATTGATTAGTATTTCATAAATAAGAAAGATTATGGACAATTTGTAATAGACTAGCCTTACAACATGGCTTTGTGGGGTGTGTGTGTGTATGGGGCAAAGTTCAGTTTTTCTTAATTTCATTCTATAAATATTCATGATGAAACTATGAAGTGATATTTTATTGATATATTAACTATTAACCTGTAAACCTTACTCAACCGTTGGTCAAGTTATAATACATTATATATATCATTAATTTAACTTCAGATATTGCCCCTCATTATTTTCTTGGATATATATTACATACTATATATATATAATGTACATCTCGGATCTCTCGCCAAAGAAAGACAAGGCAGTAATAGAATTAGATTTACAAAACGCTTTCAACTGTCAAAAGGGAAGTAGTTCTCAAAGTACTACAATAACCTACATACCCACTGCATGTGCAGTGGGACTGCACACGCACTTCCCCACTAGCCACTGAACCTACCTTCAATGTAATGTAATCGAAGGGGTTGCGCTGCTGCTTTGGGGAAAACACAGAAAGCCAAGAAATACAGAGGTCTGGCACATTGGTACAGCTTTGTTCCAATTTGCTCTGAAACCCCCTTGATTCGTGAGGCAAATGTGCATTGAAGTTCCTAAAGGAACTGGGCGACAAACTAATCATGATTACAAAAGACCAAGGGCCAGATTCACAAAGCAGTTACGCAAGTACTTACGAACCTGCACATCTTTTCTCAATCTTTGTCGGCTTTGTTTACAATTATTAAACAGTTAATTAATGAGCTCTGAAGCACCAAGAGGCTGTGTATAACAATAACAACAGTTGATTGGGAAGTTTTCATGCTTTTAAACTGTTTAATAAATGTAACCAAACCCGTCAAAAATTGAGGAAAGATGTACACGTTCGTAAGTACTTGCGTAACTGCTTCGTGAATCTGGCCCCAGATAGCACCAAGTTTTTTTTAATTCCAGCGCCTCAATGCCGCTGTTCAGAGGGGGAACACCACCTACATCTTGATCACGCGTCCAACCCCGCAGGAGTTCGAGGCGTTTGACTTGCAATATCTGTCAAATTGGTTTGTATTTAATTTTACTTGTAATGATAATGTGATTTAAACTGAAAAATATGCGTATAAATATGCAATATTTAATGTACACGTTATATACAAAACGTCTTGGTATGTACAAAATACCAACGTACAGTGTTGGTATGTACCAAACTGTATGCTTGCTTTTGTGGTTGCCTGCATCACTCCCCGTTAATGCAAAAATATAAATAAAATGATCAGAAGACCAATTGTTTTAATTATATTTTTTGTATTTTTTTTTTTACGAATGCTCGTCTGATTTTGGATTAAAATAAACTCACAACCGACATGCTCCTTTGTGCATACACAATTAAAGTATACTTTAGTTGTGGACTAATGTATACTTTAGTTGTGGACTAATGTATACTTTAGTTGTGGACTAATGTATACTTTAGTTGTGGACTAATGTATACTTTAGTTGTGGACTAATGTATACTTTAGTTGTGGACTAATGTATACTTTTGTTGTGGAATAATGTATACTTTAGTTGTGGACTAAAGTATACTTTAGTTGTGGACTAAAGTGTTCTTTAGTTGTGGACTAATGTATACTTTAGTTGTGGACTAGAGTATACTTTAGATGTGGACTAGAGTATGCTTGCTGGTTGGCCAGTGAACTATTTTGGCTACCTAAACCAAACTATTAACCTTAACTTTAACCTTTGGTTGCCTTTACTTTATCTATTTTGGTTGCCTTGGTTGTGGTTAATAAACCTTAAGACCAACATTAAACTAAATTTAACAAACAATGCAGAGTAATGGCTAGTTTCACCGAGAGATAAATAATTACAATAATTATGAAACATAAAATAATAATTCAAATTACAAGCCTTTTATATATGATATGAATTAATAAAGAAACTGAATTACTTGAGCTGTCACCGCCATGAAAGTCGAATAAGAAACATGTAACATCCAATGACCAAAGAAAACGAATCATGTTCAGGGCCAACCCGTTCTCGCACTTTCGTATAGTCAATATTGACTTATTAAATACGTGCATATGTGACATACTAAACATACTAGTTTACCTTGAAAAGCTTCATAGAAAACACCGACCTTACCTAACCTTCTTAGTATGTTAAGATAAGCATCTTATTGCTTCGTAATTACAATTATTACTTAACCTATTATAGGTATAGGTTAAGTAATAGTTGTAATTACAATTATTACTTAACCTATTATAGGTTATTACTTAACCTATTATAGGTATAGGTTAAGTAATAGTTGTAATTACGAAGCAATAAGATGCTTATCTTAACATACTAAGAAGGTTAGGTAAGGCTGGTGTTTTCTATGAAGCTTTTCAAGGTAAACTAAAATATTCACAATAAATTAGTATGTCACATATGCACTTATTTAATAAGTCAATATTGACTGTAAGAAAGTGCGAGAACGGGTTGTCAGGGCAACAGTAGACGCTGGGGGGGGGGGGAATTATCAAGGGGAAAGTGCCAAGCCATTACGACTATATAGCACTTGGAAGGGAAGTCATCGATATGTAACAAACTAGGTTTGTTGTAAGATGGCGTTATTATGGTGGTATTTGGCAACGTTTAAATGTTAGGAGACAGGGTGTGTGTGTGTGTTGTGTGTGTGTGTGTGTGTGTGTGTGTGTGTGTGTATGTGTGTGTACTCACCTGTGTGTACTTACCTATTTGTGCTTGCGGGGGTTGAGCTCTGGCTCTTTGGTTCCGCCTCTCCAACTGTCGATCAACTGGTGTACAGATTCCTGAGCCTACTGGGCTCTGTCATATCTACATTTGAAACTGTGTATGGAGTCAGCCTCCACCACATCACTGCCTAATGCATTTCATCCGTTAATTACTCTGACACTGAAAAAGTTCTGTCTAACGTCCCTGTGGCTCATGTGGGTACTCAGTTTCCACCTGTGTCCCTTTGTTCGCGTACCACCAGTGTTGAATAGTTTATCCTTGTCTACCCGGTCGATTTCCCTAAGGATTTTGTAGGTTGTGATCATGTCTCCCCTTACTCTTCTGTCTTCCACGTGTGTGTGTGAGATAAATAGATAGATAGAGAGAATAGTTATTGGTTAGCTTTCATGTCTTCCTTCTCGAGTCCTCAAGTCTTTGCTTAGAGCTACAAAGCCGCACTCGAAGACTCTGTTCGACCATAATTTAATTCCAGCCCGTCCTCCAAACAAAGATCCAAAAGTGATTCCATGCAGCCGCCAAACCCCCTGTTTATGAATGAAAAGCGGTTTACACACGACTCACAACTGCTGACGTTCGAACATATCCGGAACAAGTGCTTCACTGACGAATTTTGTTCGAATCACAATTCTATAAATGCTTCACCCACGTGCTTCAAATACAAATAATCGCCAACAGAACCTAAACACTTAACCTAACCAATGCCTACCTATACATAGAATTTTTATGTATAATAATATTAATTTATATATGAGAATAAACCAACGTTTAATACACAGTATGTTAAAATTGATGAATGTTTCTGGGGGAGAATAGGCGGTGCTTTAAACAGCCTAGTGTGAGGACGGGCTGTTCGAATGCAAGAAGCTATTCGCACGCCACCTGGACAACCGTGCTGTGCGTTTCTTTGCGCCATCGAGGCGGTGACAGTGTGGGACGGGCTCGCCTGCAGCCGTAACACGTAGCGCCATGTTGGGGCTCCTGTTTATGGTAGATATTACGGGTTTTAAGAATAATTCGTATATCTTGCTCAAGTAGAATGTTATTTCTTGAATGCCACCAGTTTTGTCATCAGCATTTCTGTAGTTTAAGATTTTGCAGTGGAATGTGGAGGTGGGGGAAAGTTGCAAGTTCTGGTATTCTAATTCTTGTGGTTAAAATAGGCAAAAACCACACTTGTGGTTAATTATCTTAAATGTTGGAGATATGTTTTAACAGTGCATCGCCAGCACAGTTAATACTTTCATAAATAACGCCTACATAAGCTTGTTGGTTTATACAATAGGATTCTTGAACTTAATGGATTTTGGCATCGTATTCGCTAAACTAACGGTACTTCGGCTAGTTTACCTAAATTACCGTTACCGACAATGTTTTTCAAAATTTTTGAAAAGTTTATTCAGGCTTTGATTTCTTAATTTGATTACTTTGTTCCGTATTTAGAACTAGCAAGTGTTATGAAATGTAATTTAGTTCAATGTTACACTAAAACAATCCATTTGGTAGACGCTATAATCCAAGCCAGAAGAGCTGTACCTCACGGCAAGATGAAAGGTAAAGTTAATACCATGAGAATTGCCTTGGTAACCTTATTGCATATAATTTGGGTTTAGGTTAGTCTCATTCCGGTATCTTTTAAAACTTTCTATTCCTTTTAGAGCCAAGGTCTTGGAAATAGTTTGCCTACCTGGTGCCTAGGCCAGGTAGAAGAGGGTAAGAGGAACTTTTCATGGTTGATGCGTGTCACTGGCTACTTTAGGTAAGATAGCTAAGACTATTTAAATTTCTTATCTTATGCGCCCCATACCTACTCCGTCGGCGGTGGTGGAAAGGGCTAGGCATATAATCGGTTCAGGAACTGAATTCCATAGATTAGCTAAGCAAGTTTTGTGAAGCTAGTTACAGAATTGTTAATGTTACGTACATACACATGTATATGCATACATGTACACAATATACATCACTTTTTATATCGCAAGTGAATCGACAAAAGGCTCTATATATAGGCTTTGTCTATAGGGAGTCGGTGAGCTTCCTTTGTCAACATTCGTTAACCCGGAATGTGGAGAAGTCCTTAGTAAGATTGAGCCAGTTATACATATATAACATAAACATTAGCCTTAATGGTAAAGTTTTTAACGGGTCTATGTACTTCGGATTTTTTTTTTTCGCCCTTGGTTTCATTTAAAGTTTAGTTAGTCGTAACTATCAGTTGGCCAATGTAGTAACTAAAGAATACGTGGAATTTGCATTTTTTTTCAGGAAAGAATATTGCCTGTAAAGTAAACTACAGTTAAGGGCAAGTTACTACACTAGTTAGTAGGCCGAAGACCTTGGGAGTACAAATAAAAAAAAAAAAATCGTGGTCGCCCCGGCCAATTTATCTTATTGGTGAAAAGTTTAAGATCATAATTTGCACAAAATTATATCTAAATTTGTGCTAGACGTGGGGTTGGGTGTGAAAAGTATGGTGTTAGGCTCTGTATACCTACAGGGAAAATTTAGTCATAGGAATCAGGATTAAGGTTAGCGTAATACGTACCGAGGAAACTTGTATATTTAGTTCTCCAAATGACACTTTTTTAAGATAGCTTTTTTTTATCATTTCGTATATCTTGTACGACAGACGTTGTGCTGGTGTGGGCCTGGCCAGGGTCTGGAGAATGTCATCCCTCAAGCGGTCCCAAACTATGTCGCCGCTGCCAGAACGTTAGTCAACACACACACTGTACAGAGCCTCTTCCTGAGCCCCTCGGCCACCCAAGTTATAAAAAACACTTTATCAATTCCTACCACCGTGTTGAACTTCATAGATCAGAACGATATCAACTACGTGGTAGGGGATGTTGGCACACTGAAGCCGGATATAAAGGTGCGTCCTGTTCAGAATCTTGTACTGGCGGACACGCGACCTTCGCCACCAGGCCGAGGCCCACGACCTGTAAAAGGCAAGTACGACTGCTCTCAACTTTTCCTTAGGACTTTGTCAGTGTTGTTGAAACTGATTATACATGGGTTTTGTTTACCTTATGATGGCTTGTCTCCAAATTTAATATATTTATATATATTCCTAAAAAAAATGTTGACCTAGGTGCACAAGTGGTTGACATAATTTTCTTAACCCCTAGATGACGATGCTAACATTTCCCCCTACTGGGTCGACCCCCAGGGCCGACCACCCAGCCAAGCACCAGCCACACGCCCCGATGACCTAGCACCCAGTCCTCCCACCTGCAGGCGAGTGTTCCCTACGTCCTCAGTATGGTCATACTGATGGTGCTGGGCGGGACGGTGTCTAAACTAGTCGGTGTTAGTTGCTATAACGGAGTCTTTGGTAATTTTTCCCCATCCCCGTCTTCCTACTTGATGTGATGTATGGCGAGGGGAATTTTTATTAAACGTAGTATAAAATTATCTTGCAAATGGCTGCTTTTCTGAACTGAATAGTTTTTAAAGTGTAAGTACTGTATTAAGACTTAAACAAATGATAATTGGTTTAGGAATTCCCTCAATAAAAAATCCCTAAATAGCATTCTTAAGCTTTATAGCATAGGTTAATGTAAAAATTTCCTAGTCGGCACAAAATGGTAAATGTCATTAATTTTATGACAAGTTCTACCCTTCCCTCCTCGTTTAGGCCCCAGGAAAGCGAGGTGCCGCCTGTGGATTGCAAATCTCCTCCAAAGTACCGTACCATCGATGGTCGCTGTAACAACCTGCTGAACCCTCACCTGGGCACCCCGGGCCAGCCCATGCCACGCATCCTGCCTCCTGTCTACGGTGAGTGAGTGCCGCTCACAACGCTACAGTTATGCCAGCAGCATTGGGTCTGAAACAAATGTTTGACTCTTAATTTTCTGGCTACCCGTAACTCCCATGTGGCGATTGTGTAATTTACGGAGTTTCATATTCAATCTTTCTCTGTATTTTTATTTATGCTGTGTAGTATGAAGATAAATATTTAGTGATAAATGCATGTTTTAAGCATTGGAAGCCTAGTAGCAGTAATGTAGTCTGTTTCAGCAGCGGGCGAGTATGGGTGTATTAACTCATGGTTGTAAACGTATGTTCCTTGTCATACATGGCTAAATCACTACAAATCCTAGGAGTTTTTAAAGGGCCCACCAATCGACGTCCACATTCTCTAGGCTTTTTTGAACTGACGGGGCGCACTGTAGCTCATGACATATAGTTCACTAGGCCATTGGCTTATGACGTCAAAGGCCTAGTTACTGATTGGCAGACCTCCAACCATCTCCAGTTTCAGGGTTGATAAAAATTAAAAACAAAAATCAAACTTGCAAACGGCTGTTTCTTAGTAAGGAACACGTCACAAGTTAAGAGCAGGTTACTGCGACGTTTAAGCTTTTCTAAAGGACCCTCCTAAAGCTTTAGACAAAAGTTTTTGAAGAATTTGCTACAGGGTTTTTATACAGTTTACTAAAAGCTTTGAAGTTGCCGCACTAATATCGAAAATGCTAAGGCTTTGATTGTATTAGATATTTACTTCGAAGGTTCATTTTCACTAAAGATGCTAAGGTTATTAAGCCAGTGTTAAAACTAAAACTTAGGTACTCGGATCCATCAATGTTACTGTTTACCGTAACATTGAAGTATTCTACTACGTTGAGTTCAGTCTATCGGGTTCCTTGTCGCTATGGACAAACTATAGTGGAGATAGTTTTGAACAGGCCTTTACAGGTGTTGGGTGTTGTAAAATCCTTTTCTCATCATGGGAACTCTAGGATCACTCTTGTTTGTAGGTATATTATAGACCGTTTTCATTAATGGCTTCATAGGAAAATTACTTTACACGTTTATCTCGTCACACTTCGATCTTGCAGTACGGGGTAGTCTCGGCTTGACATGTACTGTGATCGTAGTGTTGAAGTTTGGGAGTATTGCCATGATGCTGTTGTTTCCTTAGGCCAACATTGCCGCCCCATTCAGTAGGGAACTTGTAGCATGACAAACGCCCTGTTCTATTAAATCTGTTACAGACGAGGCGTTGATGAGGACTCGGTCAGCAGCTGGAGGTCTCCTGCCCAACCCCCGGGTGGTGAGCCTGGTGGTGCGGGAGGGGCCCTTGGCCTCCTTCACTAATTACAACCTCCTCCTGATGCAGCTCGGCCAGATCATCGACCATGACATGAGCGTCAGCGCTCTCGTCAAGAGTAAGTGTGAATTTTGTGATGCAAGATGTGGGAACTTGGCTTTGGTAGCTTCATGACCTCAGCAAGGCTATTTGTAACTACCACTAAAATATTAATGACCCTTTATTTCCTCGATAAAGTAAAGGTTTTCTTTGCTATTCTGAGCGCTATAAGCTTTTAATCTCTGGGTTATAACGGTCGATTAAGATGGTAGGATATCTGGCAGAAACAAATGGGGCGATTAGCGTGCAATGCTGTAAGATTTGGTGGAGAAAATGTCATTGATTTTATTTTAGTGGGAGTTTGGCACAGTTACGCGGCACTTTTGATGTCAATCCAGGGGCCAGATTCACGAAAGCACTTACGAACCTGTACATCTTTTCTCAATCTTTGGCGGCTTTGTTTAAAATTATTAAACAGTTAATGAGCTCCGAAGCACCAGGAGGCTGTTTATAACAATAACAGTTGCTTGGGAAGTTTTCATGCTTGTAAACTGTTTAATAAATGTAACCAAAGCCGTCAAAGATTGAGGAAAGATGTACACGTTCGTAAGTACTTGCGTAAGTGCTTTCGTGAATCTGGACCCTGACCCGGCCACGTTGGGCACACGCCAAACGGAAATTTCTGGGTAAAACAAAATTTAAATGGTCGCTCTGTCTGGCCTCTAACCTCGAACGCATTTTTATATCTATTATTGTATACCGATGGTGGAATTTTCATGTGTAAAGTTGACTTGTTACTCGCTGGTGCCAGCGTCTGGCCCAGAGCAGGACACTTGTTTAAGGTTAAGTTTGTATTCAAAAAGTAATAGAATGGGAGTAGGTTAGCTTAAATTAGTGCTCTTCCTAGTAGTCTAGTTCCAACATGATAAAATTAGACAAAATTAGACAAAGGGAGAAAAAAGTTAGAATTTTATTTAAGAAAACACTTTACAAGAAAATCTGCGTATGGATACTTTTGTAACCCTAAACAAAAAACACACAGGCCTGACTTGTTACTCTTAACCTAAACACTTAAACGGTGGCTTGCGTCATTAGATATATTGTAGCTCATTAAAAATCCTGATTCCGTAACAATTACTTTAAATTGATATTTACAGTATGGATTGACAAACTTCAGTAAAATGGTATGAACTGGATTGTGATAAAACCTATTAGCTAAGCAATATACACATTAAATATCTACACTAAAGCCATGATGCACATTTACCTCGCTGTTAGAGCTTCTCTAATGTTAAAGCTAATGATGCATAAGACCTAGTGATAAACTGTTAGCTTAGAAGAGGGCTACACAATAGATCTTAACAGGCCAGGCCGGTCAAGACAAATGAGCCAATGTATCGCAACCTGCTTGATAGTTACCAAAGGTTGCGAGTACTTGCACAGCGTCCGTAATTGTGTGGTTCTTTATTTGCAGTGCTTTTATCGTAGCCTGAACGCTGGCCCCCTAATTTGACATTCATGATGGTCCTCAGGTCCTGAAGGTTCGCCGAGGAAGTGTGGCGACTGTAGCTCTTGGAAGGACCCGGTGTGCGCCCCCATTAACATCCCTGACGACGACCCCCACATGCAGGCACGCAACCCTAGCACCGGCCAGCGCAGGTGCCTTCCCTTCTTCAGGTGAGCCCAGACGGTTAGGACGATCAGCAGGGAACGGGTGAAGGGAGGGTTAGGTTTACCTCTGTGGCGAGGGTAACCTTGGAATTTCAGGTGTTCTAGATGAAGTGAATCTAATGTCCCAAGAAAAAAGAAATCTCGAATGATAGTTTGGTCAGTCAGGACATTACAAATAAACAAATGTTGCTAAAACGCAGTGTCTAGTTATGAACAGCTTCTAATTTTGCTAAGCTTTATAATTTGTATTGCCGCCTCGAGGATGGGTGAAAACTGTGCACTCTTACTGACGTTCGTAGATATGAAACATTTGTATCTAACTTGCACAGTAAAAAGCGACGTTGTACAACTTTTAAGCCCATAAATAGCATCACTAAAACCGTTAGATGAAAACTTAAAATTAATGCACGATATTAAAATGCAAACCTATTTAATTTTTCTATGCAAAGGTTAAGATGGTTAAAGATCACGTAAAACTATTTAGAATTTAAAAAAAAATAGGTGATAAGGTTAAGTTATCAGGCGAACATGAATAGAATGAGTCGTCTAGTTATTGAAATCCCAAGTAAAAATGTTGAGCGGTAAAGCGTAGCGCCAATGGGAAAACTTCGTGCAGAAAGTAGCACTGTTTATGGGGGGAAAACCACAGGGTTACTTAAGATGGCATTTACAAAAGTCTTATGCTAGTCAAAGGTGTCAAGGTATAAGATGCTTAAACCATTAAGGGAGTTATTTCCTACTTACAGTAAACAGGTATACATTATGGTTTTATTTAAAGTACCAGAAATGTTTAGTGTTTTGTAAAACTCCAAATTACTAGTTTGGTTAATTTCATAAGTGTTAGAAGTTTTGTAATTATCTGGTTAAAATGCTGACAAAATGATTTAAATATTTAGTAGTTTACATTAAAGTTCACTAAATGTTTCTTGCATGATGCTGCGTGAAGGAGTGGGGCCGTGGGGAGCCGGGATAGCCAAGGTCGACCCTCCCTCGACCAGATCAACACCCTCACAGCCTTCCTCGACCTGTCCACGGTGAGAACACTGTACCCTACGCCAAGTAGTCAAATATATTTACATTAAAATAAATCTCCCCGCAAGTTTTCTATCTCCACTGTTAAATGGGAGGGTGAACTAAAGATTTATGCAGTTCTTAAAAACTATAATGAAAGGGCATGAGAACCTACATGGAATTAGCGGTTATTTACTTGTTCTATATATTAGCGAGTTGATTGCTGCCAGTGTTGAACTGGTGGCTTAAATGGCTCGGCTTGCTTGTAGGTAGTTTGGAATGGTTGTTAAACTAACCATTCACTTTAAGTTTCTCTGACAGTTTTGTGTGAAATGTTTACAGTTTTGTAAAATCACAAATGTCATTTAAATCATTTTGCGTTATTTAGAATTTTAATCTGTATCCAGATTTAATATATTTTTCTCTAGAATGTAATAAAACTTCAGGTTTTTCTAATTTAACCAAATTAGTTGATGCCAATTTTGAAACTAATCGTATCAAAATTAGCAGCGCACAATTTTTTTAAGTCGCTAAAATGTGAATAAATACAGGAATTAACTTGCTGCATTAGTGTTAATAACTTGCGGTGATTAAAGTTGGAGGCAGATAACTTGTTATATAAACTGATTACCTAGGATTAACATTTGACCTACAGGGGGGGGGGGGGGTTAAGGATTGCCACGGGTGCTGCCAAATAAAGCTGTCTAGTGGTGCAAAAGTTTAGAATTTTTAGACTTCTAGGAAAACTTTATGTTGCTCATTTCCCCACTCCAGTCCAGCTACATAGTGTAGAAATATAAATCTATACAATTAAATTTACCTTTCTCAATTATAAATAACGAATGTCTTTATTAATTTTATACTAGCATGTAGATTTGACGCCAGTTACTTCAAATAAACCGGGATTTGAGTATATTGACATAAAATGAAAGCCATCATTTAAATTGAGACGCTCTAATGATACCTGAACACCATTTGGTCCGGGAGACATCTCCCGTCACGCGGGGTGCAGTCGCACCTCTACAGATCTACAGTATCATCTCTTGATACTGGTAATGGCTCAAAAAGGCCACCAGTTACGGGCTATTCATGCCCGTGCCACCTTTTGGGTGGCTTAATCTTCATCAATCTTCATCAATCAATCTGATACCTGAAGGTGTATGGGAGCGACGAGTGTCGGGAGCGGGACCTAAGGCTGTACTCCGGAGGACTCTTGATCGAGCTGAAGGCGGGAAGAGGCAAGGGGACCGGCGGAGTGATGCCCGCAGTGGATGCAAAGCACTTCGAGGATTGTCGCACCGATTATAAGAAATGTTTTCTTGCTGGCGACGACAGGTGCGTTGACAGTGTGTGTGGGGGTGATTTAGTGAGTAGCCCATGATGGGGGGGGGGGGTGGCGGCAGGGAAAGGAGGGAGAAGGGTGGTTTGAATATTGTTTAAACTGACGGGCTTTTAATTAATTTATGGACGTGGTCTGGACTAAAGTTAAATGCATGCTCGTTACAGGATGTCAATTAAGGTGTATCTACGGGTGGTTAAAGGTAATCCGTATTGCAATGATATTCATTATCCTGCACCAGAAGTTTTGCTTTGTTAGGGAATGATGAATTTATTGTATCTTCCTCCCCCCCCTCGAGACGGTTTGTTCCTGTTGGGTCTGGCACGTAAGCCAGCCTTGTTAGTCACTAATATTCTAGGTCTCCTACTTAAGATTGCACGACGTTATCCACTAGTAGAGGCGCCCACTGTTGGTCATCTGACGCCTCGTTCATAATGTAACATCTAATGTCTACTATATTTAAACTGCTGGAGGTTCTAGGTTGGCCAGTCTCGAGGGACTTGAGTGACTTCCCGTCTCGAGAGCCACACAAAAGTGCTGACTTTTAAAGAATTCCTTTAGTGTAAAGTCAGTCATACCGCCATTCTGGTTATCTTCCACCTTGTGAACTCTTCACACTCGGGCTGGTCACAAGGATTTACTTTCCTTTAACCAGCGAGCCATAAGTCTTGCCTTCATACAATGTTAGAAACTTTAGTACTAGAGACCAACAATAATAGCTTCGGACTTCAACTAGTTTCTTCTGGCTCCATTCTGGCCAGGCATAGTTCACCAGCTTTAGTCCCAACGTATCTGCTCAGAACTCAAGTATAAAGTGACCAGTGGATAACTAGTGGTTAGGTGTAGTTAATGGCTTTAGCCAATGTTAACCTAATCGGCCAAATTCAACACCAGGAGCATTAATTCAACATTAAAGGGCAGACTAATATTGTATACCATAATGCAGCTGTTGTCTGGTGGTAGTTTGGTAGCAAGTTGTAGTTCCGCGAACTTCGTGGTTCTGACATTACTACTAAAGTAATGTGGAGTTACATTACATGCTGTTATTAAGAGCGTACGTTGTGGTTAATGCTACCAACACTAAGACCACCAGGCTAGACAGCTTTATCATGGCAGCCAATTTTTAGTCTTTTAATCATGCCATTAGCGTCAGTCACTTGGGATTCTAGATGGCCTAAAATATAAAATTTAACTTGTGATGTCTGTACTATAAGGATGCTTACTACAGATACTTTAACAACTAATACTTTACCTTGTGGCACAGGAGCAATGAACATCTGGGACTGCTGGTGATGCATCAGCTTCTGTTCAGGGAACACAACCATCTGGCCAGCCTCTTTGCCAAACTCAACCCCCACTGGAATGACGAGAGGCTCTACCAGGTCAGTTTTAATCCCCCATCCACTTTGTATGGCATCTTCTGATATTTAAATCCAACAGGTCAGTTATTATTTTTAAACTTCATTGACTAGCTGAGGGATAGTCTAGTCAAACATGAAAGCCTCGGATAAAATAAGTTAGTCTTGTATATAATTCAGATGGCGTGACGGATCTTGCATTAGAACTTCAACTTGCCTTGTAGGCTAGTCTGACCTGGATCACCAAAGATGGTAGTTATCCACTGTTTTCAGGCACATCTTAAACGTTCTAGGTACAATGGGGTCTTCTCTCAACCCCAGCATGTATTTAGTATGAGTCATAATTCTGTGTCCTGGGTTCTTCCAGTAAGGCTTCCCGGGGCTAATTTATAGCCTTTTAAATACACTAGTAAGGATGGTTGACTATAAATATTACTTTTAAAGCTCAAGTTAAACCTAGTAAAATTACAAAAGAACTTTTGTCACATTTAGTGGGAAAAATGTGGAATTCTGTAGTAAAGATAGTTTGTGCCTGGAATGATGCTTACCGATCTAATCAGTATATTGCACAATTCTGCATCATAATACTAGTATATTGATACTAAATAGTGAAGTGCTATTATTGCAACACGAGCAAGAGAACGGAGACTTCCATTAAAGGGGAATGTGTGGATCGAGTCTCTGTAGTGAGTGTTGCGTGTTATAGGTACGGAAATAAGTGTAATTTTAATAACCCGTTCAGTAACCCGTTCAGAAGAGACGCTTGACACTAATTTGACTCCCAGCTTTACCTAACCTTTGTGTCTCGAGCTACACCAGTTTTACACAACTGGTACACTTTAATTGGCAAGTTTAGTTGACAACTTGATTAATCTTTGGTTTAAATATAAAAGGTCTTGAATTACCTTCCCATTTTCTATGAACATTGAACTAATAGAGCACGTAAAATTAAAAAATAAAAATACTGCTGGTAAACCCATTTGTCTTGTGTTCATACGAAGTGTCACAGGAGTCCTAATGATGGTATACATTTGTGCAGGAAGCTCGTCGGCTGAACGTCGCCAAGTTCCAGCACATTGTGTACTCAGAGTTCCTGCCGCTACTCCTGGGCAAGAACAAGATGGCAGAGTACCGCCTCATTCCTGAGAAATCTGGCTATTACCAGGTAAACGGCTACTAGTTAATAAGGCTAATTGGGCACATCGGGTGCCCAGTTAGGCTCTCCTAACCAGGGAAACTTTTATTTGGAGCGAGGCTCATGGGGCAAGGCAGGGGAACTTAATTCATAACTGGGGAAACAATGCTGCTAAATGGGGGCATAAAGTAGACGTGCATCACGATGCACGCAAGTATTGCGTGCAACGTGATGAGTTTACTTTATGCAAACTCGTTAAGGGAGAGCCGGCAAACTGCAGAACAGTTCCGAATTTTAAAGGGATCTCCTAGGTATGCGTAGCAGCTCGCCTTGCCGGGTGCCTTTCCTCGCGAGGTGCCAACACCCGGCTTGGTGCATTTTTTTTAAATTACGTACTAGGTATAAAATATTCTGGAGCAAACTCGCGTTAATTTCCCCTTTAAGTTACATGGCTTTCCCAGCTTGGTGCCTTTTGATAATAATTACTCTCCCTTTAAGACCTTTCACACGATACAGTAATTAACTGGGCTTTTGTGGAAAAGGATTAAAGCTTCTAGATGGACAGGGTAAGACGCCCAACACGTCTGAAAATAATTTAGTTTCGGTCCGTCTAGGACCATTATATAGTATTGTAAAGTGGCAAAGGAAAATGTACAAAGGGGAAATTAGTATGAAACTTTTATTCAGAACTTGGTTGACGTTTTTACTATAAAGTATCTTAATTAACTCTGCACATACTGACCACCTTGCTATTCCACCAGGGTTACGACCAGCGGGTCAACCCTGGCGTACTGAACGAGTTCGCCAATGGCGTTTTCAGGATGGGACACACCATGATCCCGGACTTCCTGAACCTGCTAGACCACAACTACCTCCCTGTTGCCTCGGTCCCCCTCGTCCAGACCTTCAACAACGCCTCCTTGGCAGTCCTGGTAAGTTGAGCACGGACGAAGTACAGTCGGGAGGAAATATTAAGGGTGGCGTGGGCCGGCATGCTTTTTTTTATTTGGTGAACATCTCTGGTACTCAACTTCTTGACCAGCGAAGCCAGAAATAATTGATCAGAGGCCTACTTGTATCTTTAACATAGATACCTGGTCCATCACATGTTGCTTTCGTTCATAGCAAAAACTTTTATAACTCACCTACCACAACTAGATCCTTTTCTGAGGTAATAATCATTATATTGGCGAATTCTTGAAACGGATCAAGGGAGCTTAAATTGAAGATTACTGTACAAAGAGGCCCAAATGGCACTTTAAATATTAGCGGTAGTTGGTTAAACTTGCATTACTGTCGTAAGAAATTCTAGGAGAAACTAGTAATACATCAATCGGATTGTATAAAGGGCGCATACATTTTGGGAATTGGTGATAAGCAGTTATCATTCAGTTTACCTTTACAAGAAAAAATGAAGCTTAACTTTCATAATGTATACACAATAAATGTAAATGCTATTGAATAGAAGACAATAGTATGACGAACAATTTACGACAATTTACATTGTCAAAATCAAATTAATCTTGCTCCTTTCAATATGTAATGTTCAAATATAAATATTCAAGGATATAACTAGTGTTCTAAAATAAATGGTCGGTTACAACGCGGGACGATGTTTCACTGACCCATGTAACTTGTTCATGGCCGCCGCCAGCCCGGGATGTGCGACAAGGTGCTCAGAGGGCTGCTGGGCACGCGACTCCGGCCTGTGGACATGCGTCTGGTCACCACCATTCTCGACCACCTCTTCCAGGGGCGCCAGATCCCTCCCCAGGACCTCTTCTCCAGGAACATCGCCAGAAGTAAGAACTCGCGCTCTTGGGTTTAAATCGCGTGAAGTCAAGTGTGTGTGACAAATAGAAATTAGATTGTGTAAGCATATTTTGTCATGGCAAAGTAAACCTTGACCTCTGCTCAGATATGTAGCATTCGGAAATACTGTAGTCTTGTGACGGCTATTTCAAGGATTTTAAATCAGATGGGTAGTGGGTGGGTCGGGATATTTTTTACAAAATCTGAGTTAAATAGGTTAGTTTTCAACTTGATAAAATTCAATCGAATTAATATTGCCTTAAACATAAGACGGTGTAGATTAAATTGCCAAGATTCCCAAAACGCTTGCAACAGTGGTTTTCTGCATAATTAATTTTACAGAATTAATATTTTAGCAAGTTTCAGCTCTTGGGTTCAGTCCATATTCATTCAGTTCACCCCTGCTACTGACGTCCTTCAGCTAATGTGCCCCATGTCTCTCCTCTTTGCAGTGTTTTCCCCTTTCCTGTAGGAAAAGGGGAAAAGTTTGTTACCCTAGAAATTGTTAAAAAAAATTCTACTTGCTGCCACCACCTATACAAATTATTAAAAGCACACTTTGATAAAAAAAAAATGTATCAATATTGCAATTTGTTTCTCGGTGAAATATCTAATATTCTTGTCTTAACGTCCTGCATAGATTTAAGTGTGTACATTAGGATATGGTAATGTCGTGTAGTTTGATAAAAAATATTATCAAACTGTAGAAAACACATTATACTACTTGGAATAATGTCCCTAAAATGCTTATGGAAGATCAGTTGAACTTAGATTTAGTAAAGCACTCGAAAAATTAATCTAAACGTGGAAAGTTTCCAATTCTGAAATTTTTTTCTGCGAAGTCTCTTGGCGTGACGGCCCAACCACTTGGGCTGGACGGTAGAGCAGCGGTCTCGCTTCATGTAGGTCGGCGTTCAATCCCCGACCGTCCAAGTGTTTGGGCACCATTCCTTTCACCCCGTCCCATCCCAAATCCTTAGCCTGACCCCTTCCCAGCGCTATACAGTCGTAATGGCTTGGCGCAATTTTCTGATAATTCCCTTCTTGGCGTGACGCTCAGGTAGAGACCACGGGATTGGGCCATACATCAGGTACAGAGAGGCGTGCGGCGGGGGGCTCGCGACCTCCTTCGACGACCTCCTCAAAGTAATGACCCAGCAAGCTGCCTCTGTCCTCAGAAAAGCTTACGCCCATGTGGAGGATATTGATCTCTTCCCCGGAGGCCTGGTGAGTGTTGATGGCGGTGGGGTTGTCGCTGGTGAAGGTAAGTTGAGGGGCTATAAAAATTGAGGTCCCAGTTTAGTGGGGGAGGCTGAAGTCTGTAGTGGCTGCTGGAGATAGTGCACTGTAATCTTTGCGGATTGACCTGGGATTGAGGGGCGGAGAGATGGAAAAACAATTTCACATAGATTGCTAAAATTGTATTCACACTAGACAAGTCAATCATTCAATTAGTGGTCGCTACCTATTTGTTTGACACCCGGTCAAACCAATCACTAAGTATGTGCAGAACTTTTGTGCCCCCCCCTACTTTACACAGCCATCATAATTCGCATTTAGTTAAGTGTATAATTATTTTCCTCAGGCTGAGACTCCCGTGGCAGGAGGCATGTTGGGACCCACTTTCTCCTGCATCATCGCCTACCAGTTCCTAAACACTCGACGAGGTGACAGATTCTGGTAAGAAATTTTTTTCGCCACCCTGGCGTGCATTTCAGAGATGTAGCAAAGTGGCTTGCTTGTTAGCCGGCTAGTCTGGAAACTGGCTAGCAGCCAGCCAGCCGGCCAGCTAGCCAGCTAGTGTCGGACGCTAGTAACTAGTGAGTAAAAGACTTGATTTAATCGGTTTGTATAGTTTAGTCTAGCATATTAACTCTCCTTTCTTGACCAGGTACGAGAACATTGACGCAGGGTTCACATTAGAGCAGCTGAATGCTGTGCGCTCCTCGTCCTCCCTGGCGCGGCTCCTGTGTGTTAATATGGACGACCTCGACGCATTGGTCCCGCAGAACATCTTCCTAATTCCTTCCAAGAGAGAGTATGTATGATTGGCCGTGTGGGTAAAGAGCCAGTAAACACATCGGACTTTGTCTTAAAAAAATTACTATTGTAATAGTTTACTCTGCAGACATTGACTCCATTTTGATACTACAGCCAAGAATATTTGATATTGTGAATCATAAATTTAAACTAAATTAAGAATTTTCAGCCCTGACAGTTGGTATTGTAATATAAATTACACACAACCCTCCAATGGGTGTTATCTTTAAAAGTTTGGTTCAGTTTAATTGGTATAATTTAAAAACGTTTACCTCGGAGGACATTTCAATTATGGAAGACATTGGGTCTTCCTGATAATTCGCTTCTTTGCACTGCTTTAACAAATATACCTCCTCCCACGAAGATTAACTTTAACGTTCTGCTTGCTTGTCTTCGACGCTAACATGCTTTACTTCGGTATATATTCTAGCATCTTCATATTATCTGATGAATTAAGTTATATCTTGAATACTATACTCTTGGGCCAACTGGACGTTCTAGCTGTTAAAAAATCCTGCATGCAACGTGTTCTACATGTAATGAACTCTTACAAATAATTTCACGTTAGTCTTCCTGGCGATGTATTTCTCGTTGCGTCAGTGTGAAATATTTTTTGTGGTTACTCATATCCTGGCCTCGTAGCCTAGTGGATAGCGCGCAGGACTCGTAATTCTGTGGCGCGGGTTCGATTCCCGCACGAGGCAGAAACAAATGGGCAAAGTTTCTTTCACCCTGAATGCCCCTGTTACCTAGCAGTAAATAGGTACCTGGGTGTTAGTCAGCTGTCACGGGCTGCTTCCTGGGGGTGGAGGCCTGGTCGAGGACCGGGCCGCGGGGACACTAAAGCCCCGAAATCATCTCAAGATAATCTCAAGATAATCCTGGCTGTGAACATCTTGCTCGGGAAAGTTGCATAAATGGAGAGATAAATATAGAGATAAATGGAGGGACTCCCTTCCCCTCCGTCCACAGGGGTCCCAAACGAAATGATTAAATTAAAGTCTGAAAGACACAATTATAGGGTACTAACAGCAAATGTCTTGCCTACTTTTGGCAATTGCTTGCTTATTACACCAGACAAGAATTTCTGCCAATTAATCCAGACTTGACATTTTTTTTTATATTTGATACATTCTGCAGAAATCCTCTTGTGGCTTGTGACCATCTGCCCTCGATTGACCTGAACCTGTGGGAGGAGCTTCACTACAAGCAGGATATAGATTGTACCTACGAGGGCCAACTTCATCCTACAGGCAGATTCGTAAATGTCTCACCGTGTCTCACCTGTCAGTGTCAGTTTGACGGTCTGGTGAGTATTGGGCCCATCTTGTTCCGCTTTGCCACTTGGTGTCATCTTCCTCTCTGTACTTGTTGGATACTTAAATCAAGCATGCTGCTAGAGACCGTGTTAAGTTTTGTACATATAATATGGCAAGAGTTTTGCAAGGTCTTGTATATTTTGTGGATTCTGAAAGTAGTTTGTAATTACTGATCGGAGGTGATCCGCTTTGTTTATTCCAGATGCACTGCAAGCCTCAACTGTCGGGCTGTGGCCACTTACAGGACGACGAGCATTGCAGACTGTTGTGTTGAGCTAGTCAGGGATAGTGGTGCAGACGACCATTCTCGTGCCTGCTCTCCCCTCAAAGAAAACGAAGATTTTTAGCTATATTCTTAACATAAAGGGGAAACCTTCCTAAAGACACAAAGGCTGTAGATTTGGTTTACTTTACAAATTGTATACATCTAAAATATGACTAATCAAAACTCGGTTCTAAAATTGGAAGATGTTTTAGAAGTGTAATAATCGCTGTTATTAATCAGTGCTGTGTGCATGTATAATTAATGTATATAAATGTTGTAAGTTAAGACGGTCTTTTATTTACTATAGAATGGAAACATTCATTTAATGCGTTCATCGAAGGAAGAGTTAATCTCATGAATTATATCCCTTCCATATAAAGTCAGCTTAAATTTTATCTCTCGGTAAGTTAGTGGTTACACGACTAGTGTAAGAGACAAATGTACAAGTTGTAATTTATTATACCTCTCGTAACTATCCCCCGAGCTAAATTTAACTTGTGTATAGTTACACGATTTCTTGCATTTAAACAAATACATGATACAAAAGACTAGACATGTGTATAAATAAGTGGCTAACTGCAACAGCTTAGAGAAAATTCACACTGCGGAGAGTTCTTACTAAATCCTACTCCACATTCACCCCAGCTGGACGTTAGCTTAGTAGTGTACATTTTCCACCTACAGTAAGAAAGTTTTCCATACTTCAGACATCTAGTACTTGTGCATGAAGTCTTCCCGGTTTGATGCCTTTTGATAATTTCTGAAGTAGTTAAACATTTACTTCAACACTATTACTAAAAGTTCTCAATTCCGCGATTATTTTGGCATTCATGAGATCAACGGTTAATGTTCTGTTTGTCCTCTTCGTGGGACATTACTTACTCTCGAACATACGGAAGATCTGACCATCCCTCGGGGAAACGACCCACAATGGTCGACTAACAAAGTACCTAATTACTGCTAGGTGAACGGAGGCATTGGGTCAGGGCGAGACGCGCCCAGCTGTCTCGCCCTGACCAAGGTTAGATTTTATAATGAGAAACTCTAGTTCTGCAAATGGGTTTACATTTAGTAAAGTTATAGAATCTCCAAAAGGATAGTAACTTGGGCTATTTCTGCCCTCGTCTATTTCAGATCTTTTAATGAGTTCACAAATCTTAGTCTACCTCACCAGGTCGTCCAAACACCCAGAAGTATTTGTGGTAGAGCTTAAGACTAGCAACGGTGGCATCTAGAAGTCTTGCTAACCTTGCTGGACGATCCAGGGTGTAACAATGGATATTGAAAAGATGCTCGATAAGCACACGATAAAAAACAAAACGGTGGGCATGAATTGTATTAAATGAACAAATCCACAAGGGCTGTAATAGGGGTTCGAACCTACGTCCAGGATGATCTCATCACGGTCCATGTGGATTTGTTCATTGATATATCACGCTATTGTGATTTGTGTAATGGTTTATTAGTTTAACTTTGGGAAAGACCTGGGTGAACACTGGTTTGATAACAGGGTTGTTGGTTTTTGGAACAAATTACAGGTTAACATAGTAACTTGGATACATGACTTCACGTGTAGGTTGGATATGGTCATGAATAAATTAATGAGATGCCTCTCATTGGTCAAGAGGCCTTCTGCAGTCATCTTGATTACAAAGTTACTAGTAAATTACAAAAACAAAAATGAACAAATTTGAAGGTTACAAGAAGGGTAAAATGTACCGATGTGAAGGTACAAGAGCTAATGCTAATATGGTAAGCTTAAAGAATGCCTATATTTACTAACGCTTAAACATCACTGAACACAGATCTGCTGCTGGAGATGTACACACGGAAAGACGTACTGTGCTTCACGGTGTATTGTACAGATAACTTTAGTCCTGGACAATCTATGTTCAGGACTAGACTAGTGTTCTTACTGGTTAGTTAGTAAGCAATTGTGGTAAACTGATTGCTAACACTGAGCTAATGTTTAATTGGCTAGCTCCCTTTTTCGAAGGCCACTGTCAGTAGTTAAAAAAAAGTGTCAGATTGTTAATTGTCGTGGCCACGTTTATCAGACTGTCCTAAAAAAAATTGAGAATTACAGATTTATCAAGTAGAATAACATGCAGTTTTTTTTAAAACAACCTACAGAAATCTGGCTAAGCAGGCGATGAGTCACAACGTGGCTAAAGTTGACCAGACCACACACTAGAAGGTGAAGGAATCGACTTGAGAATGGTCCAGGACGGACCGAAACGTCGTCGTCCCTTCACCTTTTAGTGTGTGGTCTGGTCAACAAAATCTGGCTAAAGTATAGAATCCTTACATATTCCGTCCGTCATAATGTCTGTGTTCCTGGTGAGAGGTTCCTGGTTATGTTGGTGATAATTGCATTAGTGATGCATTGTTACTTTATGCAGTATATAAGGAACAGGCCTTGTTTTCGTATCTTAATGTTATTTGGTAGCGAGAGTCACCATAAACTTAATATATATACAGGCGACCATTCTCAATCGACTTGAGAATGGTCCAGGACGGACCGAAACGTCGTCGTCCCTTCAATTTCTAGTGTGTGGTCTGGTCAATCAACTTAATATATATACTTAAGAGAACAGCTGGTATGGCTCCTACAGACATTTGTTATATAACAGACGGAACACATTTCAACGTGTTATAAATACATTCGAACACTATAATGTTTGACTTTCGAACTCAAACTATCTCGAAGCAAATTCGTCTCTGAGCACACACCAGAGGCTAACCTTTTTGTATGAACACCCGAGAAAATGTACAGTGGCCGTCTTTGAACTCTGTAAAATCACCCATTGTGGTCTCTGAACACCCGTAAACCTTACACACAGTAATCACACTAACGTTATGTATCGAGGAGAAAACCTTACACGCTGTAGTCCCTTTATCCGCAAAAAAAAAAAAACACATTGCGTGATGCTGTACTTTTGAATTACAGGAAGAAAAAAAATCTAGCTTGACCTTTGAACACGCAATAGCAATCATTGACTAGCGTGACCTCGGAACATGCAAAAAAATAGCACTTAACTCTCAAGATACCCGTTTCCCGAATAATTGTCCAAACGTCCTTATACAGGATTGGCATATCGATTCCCAGGTGTGTGTGAGGTAACACGCCACAAGTCGTGAGGTCCAGTCCATCCTGCGAGAGGTTGGGCGTCCAGAGGAGCAGGGACTCAGAGGCTGGAGCTACCTCATCCCTTTGTGTGTGTGTGAATCTATACCTCGATAAACTTGTTTCATTTTCAATTTCAACACGGCGCCTGGACTGGCTGGGGCAGTTTACCGCACTGGTCAGCGCAGTTGGTGGGGGGTACCGCAGCTGAAAGAAAGGTCCCGGGTTCCATTCCCGGTGCAGGACAGAAACTTGGACAGTTCGGAATATTTTCTTTTTTCTCTGATGCTGATACTGACGGCGCTAATAGTCTCCCAGATTTGGTGTCGTCTGCTCATACCTTCTAAACTCAAGCTCCTGAATATCCAGTTAGACAACTTGACAAATTAGTTAATTCAGAAATAAAACATTATGGTTATAACCTGTCGTGTGGTATGTAGGTATACCCTCTTTTGGGGTATATGCGTATACCCAATTGGGATGTATGTGGGTATACCCTGTTTGAGAAATATGTGAGTCTACCCTGTGGAGGGAGGAAGGGGTTGAGGGCATTTCATGTCCGGGGTATGTTCGTATACCCTGCCACGAGATAAAGGGATATATTCTACTTGGGGGGGGGGTATGTGGGTGTACCCTGCTGAGTGGAATGTGGGTATATACCCTGTTTTGGGCGAGGGGGGGGGGGGGGGGGGGGAGGGGTGTTTGGAGAGGTTATGGCAACAAATATAAAACTTTAAACAGAGTTTTAAAACATTTTCCAATATTCGACAAAAGCGTTTTTCTGCTTGTATTTTTATTTCCAAGTAATTTTTCTCTATAATGCAAATCCCAGAAGTTGTGTTGGGTGAGGTGTCCTGTCTCTTGAGTTATGACTTGTAAAACAACGTTAGCGGTGCTGCTTGTACGGGTTCAGGTTGAGGGGTTGAGGGCAGTTCAGGTCCACACGAAAACAATTTCTCGTTTTCTCGCTGGAACCTGAATGATAATCTGTTGGTGCTGTTGTTGGTGCTGCTGTTGGAGCTGTGGCTGTTACTACTACTACTGCTGCTGCTGTTGTTGGTGCTGCGGTTGTTACTACTGGTGGTGGTGGTGCTGCGGCTGTTACTACTGCTGCTGTTGGTGCTGTTGTTGTTGATGCTGCGGTTGTTACTACTGCTGTTGGTGCTGTTGGTGCTGTTGTTGGTGCTGCGACTGTTACTACTGTTGTTGGTGCTGCGACTGTTACTACTGCTGTTGGTGGTGCTGCGACTGTTACTACTGCTGTTGGTGCTGCGACTGTTACTACTGCTGTTGGTGGTGCTGCGACTGTTACTACTGCTGTTGGTGCTGCGACTGTTACTACTGCTGTTGGTGCTGCGACTGTTACTACTGCTGTTGGTGCTGCGACTGTTACTACTGCTGTTGGTGCTGCGACTGTTACTACTGCTGTTGGTGCTGCGACTGTTACTACTGCTGTTGGTGCTGTTGTTGGTGCTGCGACTGTTACTACTGCTGTTGGTGGTGCTGCGACTGTTACTACTGTTGTTGGTGCTGCGGCTGTTACTACTGCTGCTGTTGTTGGTGCTGCGGCTGTTACTACTGCTGCTGTTGTTGGTGCTGCGGCTGTTACTACTGCTGCTGTTGTTGGTGATGCGGCTGTTACTACTGCTGCTGTTGTTGGTGCTGCGGCTGTTACTACTGCTGCTGTTGTTGGTGATGCGGCTGTTACTACTGCTGCTGTTGTTGGTGATGCGGCTGTTACTACTGCTGCTGTTGTTGGTGATGCGGCTGTTACTACTGCTGCTGTTGTTGGTGCTGCGGCTGTTACTACTGCTGCTGTTGTTAGTGCTGTTATTGGTACTGTTCATGGTGCTGCTGCTTGCACTATCATGCTGCCACTATTTACTACTATTATTATTTCTTACATTCTTGTAAGTCCACCAGAACGCATAGCGCTTCGGGCAGGACCTTAATCCTAATTTTTTCCCCCAAAGAATACGACCCGCCAAATCGTTTAACAACCTGGTACCCATTCACTGCTGGGTGAACAGAGTGAACAGTTAATTAAGGATTAGTGCCCGGTCAATCCTCCCCGGCCAGGATACGAAACCAGGCCAAAGCGCTTGCGAAGCGCCGAGCGAGTGCTTTACCACTACGCCACGGGGACTGCAATTACAAC